CGCGCTCTGCGGCGGAGGCGCGGGGACCGCAGTGCGCGCGGCGCCCGCCCGCGCCCGCAGCGCCACCCCCCGCCTGGGGACCCGCGCGGGGTCCGCGGGGCGGGGCCAGTCTCTTGGCTGCCCCTCGATCCGCAGAGGGCCTGGCGCCCGCTCCCTGGGTAGCCCTCCGCCGGTGGACCGCGTGCGGGTCAGGACCCCCGCGTCGCTCCTCCTCCAGTCCCCGCCAACCCTGTCCCCGCCTGGCTGACCCTGGGTCCTAGTCAGGCACCACCCCCCAATTCTGGAAGGGAGATCTGCCTTTCGAAGCCCAAGGCCTCACAGTGCCACAGGGAGGAAGGGGAGGGTGCCAAGGGGTGATCCCAAGAAAGCTGGTTCCCAGGGCCCCACGCGCGGACTGCCTTGTGTCCCCCCAGAGAGTCAGGGTCTCTGCCTGTCCTTCCACTCAGCCCCCAGTGGGAATGCCTCTGGAGTTTTCCAGCTCACAGGTGCACCCAGGCTCTGCCCAGTGCCGGCAGCCCAAAGAGGGCGCCATGACCACTAGAGGGTGAGCAGGTGAGCAAGCAGATACCAGGAATGGATGGAGGGACGGCAGGTGGGAGGAGAAAGTTCCAAGGACAGGACGGCTGGACAGATGGGTGGGGCGAAGGGTATGCGGAAGGTCAAGCCGACATCTGGACAGGCTGCTGTAGGGCAGCCCACAGAGGACACGCACCTACCCAGGGCGGGGTGGCCGTTTCCGGCTTCCCATCAGGTCAGCACGTGCCCTGCTGTCACATAGTTGAGCGCTAACCTGACCCCACCCAGCAGAGAGGCCCCATTCCTTTCTGCTTCCTCCTCAGGCCAGGCGGCCCTGGTATACACCCTTTGCCTGTGGGGAGCCCTCAGGTGAAAGGCAGGACAGATGACATGGTGGCAACTACAGGGCAGGGGACCAGGGCTGTGGGAGACTCCGGAGTGCCGTCCCCTGACCTGCCACGGCCACCACGTAGCATGCTTGCACTTCTGCGACTGGCACTGGGCCCTGCCTCTGACCCTGGACAGTCCCAGCCCCTTCAGGCCACAGGCCTCTCCCCTTTGTACAAACCAGGCTGCACCTATAGGCTCCACCCCAGGTCCTGCAAGGCAAGAGCCCAGAGAGGTCGGTGTTCCTGGTGAGGGAACCCACATGGGCAAAACAGTCTGGAGGAGAGTCCCTGGCCCATGGGGCCTGACTTTGCTGCCCTGTGTGGCCTCGGACTAGTGTCTGGGCCTCAGTTTCCTCTGCCAATCAGCGAGAGCAGGTGTAAGAGCTGTGCGAGAGAGTGGGTGCCCAGCGGGATGGGCAGTGAGGGACTTATAGGGCCCTGCTGTCAAGGGGGGCAACTGAGGCAGCCCCAGCCAGTGGACATGTGGGGGCCCAGCCTCGGCCACGGCTCAGCTCAACTCCCCACCGACCCGAGAGGCGCGCACTCAAGGGCCACCAGTCCCCGCCCTTTGCCCCAAGGCCCCGCCCCTAGGGACGAAGTTCCGCCTAGTGCCCTCCCAATTCCGCGCCTAGCGAGCCCGGCGGTTCAGAGTTGGGACGACCCAAACCGGGTTCTGGACTGTCCAAGGCCAGCAGACCCCGAGCCAGGTCTTCAGGGAAACCCTCAAGCGCGGAGGCTTCTTGGGAATAAAGGTCCCACAGGCCGCCTCAGGCCAGTTTTGCGCATGCGCCAGTCTCCGCTTCGCGGCGAGGGGCGGAGTCCGAAGGAGCGGTGGGCGGGGTCTCCGGCGCCTGCGCAGTGGGCTTTCTTCCAAATTCAGGGTTGCGAACCCACTTCCCCCCCATATCCTATGCTGCATCGGTAGAACTCGTGTCCGGACCGGTCCGACCGGCCCCACGCATGCCAGCCCGGCCACCCTGGCCTTTGGGCCACGTCTGATTTGATCCTGCCCTTCCTGGGGACTCCCCGGGGCGCCAAAGACTGGGGGTGCGGGTCCCGGCCGCTCCCTACTGCCCCAGGTCGCCCTAGGGGGAGCTCACCAGTGTCAGTGTTCACAAGTGTTTATATCCATTGTCACCCCCATACGCAGCGACCCTGTGTGGCAGCTAAGTGCTATCTTACAGATGAAGGTGGGAGAGGGTTCAAGGTTGAAGGATGGGGACACTTGGGAAGAGACTTGTGGCCCTCGGAACCCACCAATCAGAGGGAAACTGGTTTCAGTAGTGAGCTAGAAATGTCATTTGTGTATGAAGCACGTGTTGCCAATTGTAAGAAAAACAAGTTTTATCAGCAAAAGTGTGTAAATCAAACAATTTTTTAATCAGTTAATAAATAGCCAGCCTCTGAGGTCCTGCTCTCAAACATCTGGGTCTCTGTCTGCCAGGCAGACCCTGTGGGTTGCAGCCTGGACCTCTGTGCTGTGCCTCAAAGCAGGGGCTCTGAGGTGTGTGAGTGATGGCTGAGGTCCCCAGACCACCTGCAGGCTGGGACCTGAGGGCCTGACGGGGGCCACCCTCCTGCCCTTCTTCCTGGTGAGTGGCAGGTCCCTGGCACATTCCTGGGATGCATCGAGGCTGAGTCACCCAGGCTGGCAATGCCCCTCAAAGCCCAGGCATGGCCACCGCCTACCAGAGAAAAAAGGGTGGGTGTCCACTGTGCTGGAGGAGCTGGAACCTCCTAGGATCTTGGGAACCCCATTTTTGAGTCCCGCCCATTGCCCCACCTCTCCCCAGGAGGGAAAAGGCGGCTGTCAGTCGCTCAGCTCATAGGCACTGGGACCTGGCCTAGAGGACGAGAGGACAGACGCTGCCATTGCCACTACAGGTGGGTCCTGGGCCAAGGGGCTTCCCTGCACTGGGGCTCCCCCATAGGACCAGCTCAGCTGCATCTCCAGCCCCTCTCACCCATTCCCAGCTCCATCACAGGACACTGCCACTCAGGGAGAGAGAGGACATCTGGGGGGATGGCTGGGAGACAGTGGCCCCCACTGTCCTTCACATTCAGCTCGCTCCCACATACGCACACTCTGGCATCTGCACAGCCTGGCTTTTCCTGGGGTGGGCGCTTTCTTGGGCTACAGCCATTCCCCTCCACTTAGCCAGTGTTGTCTCCTCTGCCAGGCCAGGCCATGGACCCCCATGAAATGGTTGTCAAGAACCCATATGCCCACATCAGCATCCCTCGGGCTCACCTACGCCCTGATCTGGAGCAGCAGCTGGAGGCAGCTCCCTCCTGCTCAGAGTCACATCCTCTGCCTGTGGGTCCCTGCACCCCGGAGCCCAGCCGCCTCCTGCAGCCCATCCATGAGGTTCCAGGGCCCAAGGGCGCCAAGGGCGCCAAGGGTGCCGCCCCCGTCAAGGGCCAGCAGGCCTGGCAGCATCCGGGCAGCCCCTACGGCAGCGGGCAGCGCCCAGCAGGACTGACTTACACCGGCCGGCCACCTATTGGGCGTGGTGACGACATTGCCCACCACTGCTGCTGCTGCCCCTGCTGCTCCTGCTGCCATTGTCCTCGCTTCTGCCGCTGCCACAGCTGCTGCTGTGTTGTCTCCTAGCCCGGCCACACAGCAGGACCCAGGACTGCTCAGGCAGCCGTGGCAGTGCCTGGGCGTTTGGGGCAGCCCCTGGGCCATTGTCAGGGTGTCAGCTGCTTCCCACCCTAGACAGGGACACCCATCTACCAAGAAGGCCAAAGGCTCAGCTCAGGCCCATTGAAAAGGAGCCCTGGGTGCTAGCTGTGATGGCAACTCTGGGGACACCCCTGACCCCCTCCCTCAAGGCCCAGGGCCCAGGCAATAAAGCAGAGTGAGCTTTGTTCAGGTGACTCCTCCTTTGCTGCTGCTCCTTCAGGAGGGGTTCTGGGCCGGACGGTACCACAGGCCCCCAGCCTCTGTGGGACATTTGGGAGTAAGGAAACCATTGCCTCATGATATGCTGATCTGCAGGCCTCAGGTCTGCCCAGAGTCTGGACAGGAGGGGCGGGAGTGTGGCCCCTGCCCTGGCCAGGTCTGAGTTCAACCTGGAAGACAGGTCAGTCCGTGGGTCAGACAGCAGGATGCCGTGCATAGAACGGGGGGTGGAGCCCCAAGAAAGGCCTCTAGGAGGAGGATCAGGTTGGCAGGATGGTGGTGGGTGGGACTGGTCCTGGCAGGTTTCTGGGAGGGGGAGCCCAGGCGGCCAGAACTGAGCCCTGCTCATGGTGAGTCACTGCCCTGCCTCAGTGGGAGCATTTTCCTGGCTTCCCAGGAAACAGCCGATTTCTGAACATCTGCTGGGTGGCGCAGGTCATGCTGCTTGCCAGTCCTGCCTCCAGGGGTTGGGCTTCCGGGAGGAGGTAGGCAGGTGGGCGCCGGACTAGGGGAGGCCCTTCGAGGACCTGTCTCCTGGCGGTGGAGCGGCATAGCATGCGTCCTTGGGAAGACATGCTGGTAGCTCAGCTGCTAAGTGTGGCATTGTGTCACCACCGGGGTGAGGCCAGGATGCCGGGACGAGGAGTCAGCGGTGAGGCCAGCGCTGGGCACCGTGATGTTTCCAGGGCCGGGCAGAGACAGCCAAAGGAAGAAGCTGAGCTGGCCTCGCAGGATGGACGGGTCCTGGTGCAGGCCCTCCCCTGACCCACAGTGACTGGCCACATGGCAGGACAGGTCTCCAGGTGTGGGTGGACATGTCATTGGCCTGACTGTGCAGGGTCTCAGGTGTGCCAAGCTCTTGGCCCCTGCCCCATGGCTGGCCCCCACCAGAGGATGACCCCACCCAGGCCAGACACGGAAACCTGTCTGACCAGTCCAAGAGGCTTTGGACTGCCAGGTGATAGAAGGAGGGGCCCCTCTGGCCTTTGGCTTCCTCCCAGCCAGGTGGTGAGGGTCCTGGGGGTCCTGGCCCTGTCCCGGCCCTTCTCGACACACCCAATTCTGCTATGCCTGTGTCCCCATCATTGGGCTGGCCCCGGTGCTGCAGCCGGCAGGTGCTAGGAAGAGGTGGCTCTGATGGAAGTGTCCAGTGCTGCCCACGGTGCCTTGTGCCTCAGAGCCCTGTGTTTGAGTGGGGCTCCCCACACCTATGCTTGAGGTCTCCTTGGGGCCTTGTGGGACTGGCCACCGCCCCACGATGGGAACACAACAGAGTCAGCCCAGACAGGGATGAAGGTGCTGGAGCAAATCAACATGGACCCTCACACTGATTGAGCTTAGGAGGAGCAGGACCGGTCAGGGCTGTGAGCTGGTGGGGGTCCTGGCAGGCTTCCTGGAGGAGGTGGTGCTTGAACTGCAAGATCACATAGGTTAAGACCGGAAAGCTTTTCCAGGGTGAGGTGGGGGCCAATATGAGAGTGGGGGTGGGGGAGGGTCTGGGTGGAGAGGCAGGAAGAGGGGCCATGAGGAGTGGCAAAGCCAGGCCTAGGTTGGGGGTTAGTGGAGCCCGGTCTGGGCATGAAGGGGGTGGGGGGGCGCCTTATCTCCTGCAGTGTTGGTGGTGCCTGTGGATCCAGTTGCAAGTTCTTTGTGGCTGAAAGGGGAGCCCGCCCGCCTGCAGCCACCACCTGCCTCCCTGCTGACTCGTGCTGGCCAGTAATGCGAGCCCCAGGGAGGGAGCCGCAGGGCGCCCTGGGTCCCCCCACCCCCGGCCACCCTCTGGCTGGGCATAGCCACACTGCAGAGCGGATGCAGGTAAGAGAGGCCTTGGGCTCAGGCTGGCTGGGGTAGTCAGGAACCTGGTGCTGGGCAGGGGGCCACGCAGAAGGGTCAAACAGCTGGATAGGGTGCTGCCCAGCCAGTGGGCACAGGAACCCAGGCTGTGCCCAAACTCTGGCGTCTGCTGGTCCCACTGGCCACCACTCACCCTCCAGTTCTGCAGAGGCCTGGGCTCCTGTCCTCTGGGCTGGGCTCCAGGTGCCACGGCCTAGAGCATGCAGGATAGTCACAGAGGCAAGTGGGCTGGGCTGGAGCTCCCCTGCGTGCCTCCCCCAGGATGCTGCGGCCAGAGGGTCCCCAGGCCTCCGAGGAGGGGACAGCTGCTGGGGCCCGGCGGGGAGACTGCATCATCTGCTACTCGGCCTACGACCTCACTGGGCACTTGCCCCGCCGCCTCTACTGCGGCCACACCTTCTGCCAGGCGTGTGTGCGGCGGCTGGACACGCCAGTCCACGAGCAGCGCTGGATCCCCTGCCCACAGTGCCGCCAGAGCACGCCCACGCCCCGCGGAGGGGTGGCCACGCTGGACCTCGACCTGGCCGCCTTCCTGGCCATCAAGGCTGAGCGGGAGCCATCTCGAGTGGAGCCCTGGCCCCCCGCACCCCTCAAAGGCGGCACGGCCATCACTCAGCAGCCGGTGGGGCTCTGCCCTGCCCTGGGCCCCCAGCCGCACTTCCCCCGACCCAGATGTTGCTGCTGCAGCTGCAGCCACCTCTGCTGGGCACCCCCAGGCAGCCCCGAGGTCTGAGCTCGGACAAGGCTGCTGCCGCCTGCAGCATGCCTGCCTCAGAGCCTCTGACTGAGGCACCACCCTCCAGGAGAGCTGGGGGCCCATCGTCCTGGGTGCCGTCCCGCAGCCTAAGGTCAGGGGCTGTGCCCATGGTACTGTGAGACTCTGCTGGGGGCCGGTGACCTCCTGCCAAATCCGACCAGGATGCCCAGGCCCCAGCTCACCTGACTGTGCAGGGCAGGGGTGCTGCTGTCAGAGCCGCCTGTGAGCCCAGCCCAGGCCTGGCACAGCTTAGAGCATGGCTCCTACAAGGGTCCGGCGGCCAGTCGCCAGGGGCCCGGGCTGCAGGCAGGAGGGTAGGGCCTGGCCAAGGCTGTTCCTGGTTCCTGCTCCAGTGAACCGTCCCAGAGGTGTGAGCTGGGAACAGCAAAAGGGCTACTCCCTTCACCCCTGGCCTGCAAGGCAGCCCTGGGGAGTTCTCACTCAACAAAGCTCACCGAGCACCATGTTGGCTACTGTTCCAGGAGGGTCCCCTGCAGACGTAAATTTACTGCTGTGACAAATGTCCAATGAGAGGGCCCTGGGCAGGGCCAGCTCCAGGCCCAGAGAGGGTGGGGACCTGCCTGAGGTTGCACAGCTTAGCAAGGCCACTCCTACGGTGAGCCCTTTCCTGGCTCTTGGTCTCCCAGTGGGCACCACACAGACCCTTTGGAGGGGCCACAGCAGGTGCTGGAGGCTATGGGTGCAGACACCTCCAAGTCAGGCTGCAATATTCCCATCCCTACCCAGGAAGGAGCTGTCACTCAGGAGCCCCTGGGAGGGACTGCTGGGTCCACCCTAGTGGTGGGTGGCAGAAAGGGGGAGGATGAGAGAATTTGCTGAGAGGACACTCAGAAGCCTCCTCCTTCCCTGGGGCAAAGTCCCCCAGGCACACGGCGATTGGTGGGCAGTGGGCAGGGTGCTGAAGCCAACAGGCCCCCTGGGGAGACCAGGCCTGGGGGGTGAGGGGGCGGGGCAGGCCCCAGCTCTTCCTCTGGGCATCCCAGCAGCAGGAAGGGGACTGACTTCAAGAAGGGGCACCCCACAAGTGATGGGGCCGGTGAGGGCTCAGCTGTGGAGAGAACGGCATGGGCTATGTCTCCTGGTCCAGGTGGGGTTGTGGGGAGGCCTGGGCAGGGATGTGGCCTGGGGGGGCCAGCCCTCCCCCCACTTGCAAGTGGAGGCACGACATCCTGGACTGTTGCTGGCCACCACTGGGCCGGGCCCAGCCCTGCCTCAGACCCCATCTAAACTGGATGATCTCAGGGGCTGGTGCTGTCCCCACCCAACTGGTACAAAGGGCTTCCCTCCCACCCTCTGACAGGGAAGGGATGACCAGACCAAAGGGTCCGCAGAGGTCTAGGCAGACTTCCCAAGGATCCCCCAGGCCGACCAGCCAGAGCACCCCCATGCTGCCCTGCCCTTGGCGGGCGACATGCAGCGTCCACTAGTGTCACACACGTCTGCTCAGGGAAGTCCAGCCCTGCAACACCCTTGGCCTGGCTCGGGGCCTGGAGCACCAGCCCTAGAGTGACAGTGGCACTTGGACAAGGCAGGTGCCTGGGGCTACGACGGGTCCCCCTGGGGGCCTGCGCTCTGGGTAAACATTAATGGGGCTCGGTGCACAGCAGGTCATGTGTGCACCCAGTGGATCTTTGACCCGAGGCTGCGCCCGCCCTGTGCCTCCTCCCTGCAGGTGCCCCTCATACCACACAGGTAGGAGCTTCTATAACCAGGAGGGGCCCATGGACACTGGGGCCAGGGCTGGGTGGCCACCAGGCCCAGGGCTTACTGCGCCCCCTCCCAGGGCGAGAAGACACCAGCCTGTGGGCAAGCAGGATGGAGGGTGACAGAGAGCCTTGGGGGTCTGGGCCTTGGGGGTGGGAGGGAGTTGGGGCAGAGGGCTACTCTGGGGCTCCAGACCCAGCAGGCTGAGGAAAGGAGCCTTGAGGTGGGGTGGGGTGCCCAAGCCCCTTGCCCTACCCTCTTCACTGGGGGTGGGGCCCTTATCAAGCGGAGACGTCACCGTTTGGTATCAAATGCCAAAGTCTAAGCCAGGACCATCTGCCATGACCCTGATGACACCTGATAGGAGAGGTCCCCGGGTTCCCAGCTCCCAGCCACTTCCGGCCCTTGCCTCAGCACTGCTACCCAGCAGGGCTTCTCCCAGCCAGGACCAGCGAGGGAGCCAGGCAGCCAGGGACCCTCAGCTCTGCCCCTTGAAACTGGACTGGGCTTGCCTGACAGCCATCTGAGGTCACTGCAGCCATCCGCCTGCGGATGGAGGAACGGGGAGGTCACCAAGGCCAGCAGGGGGTGGGGAGGGAGGCGAGTGTCCGAGGTCTCAGGTTAGGGGACCCCAGGGCCCGGCAGGGCAGGGGGAGGAGAGCTGTCTGACCTGCCCTTCCCCCCAGCAGATCCAGGCTTGGGCCTGGGTCTCTTCCTGGCCGAAATCCATGCCAAATTCCCTCACCGGTGACCAGGTCCCCCCCAGTACTCTGGACATGGTTGGCCTGGTGGACCGGAGCCTAGGAAATGCAGGTACCAGGAGCCCAGGGCCCCAGGCTGGGGCCTGCCGGCCTGCCTCCCTGCCACTCAGCCCCTGGCCCCACTGCTCTGGGGAGGTGGGGAAGGGGCTCATGACAACTCTGGTCGGGCCGTTCAAGCTGGAAGCTCCCTTCCCTCACCGCTCCTGCTTCTGCCCCTCACCACAAGTCCCTGTGCAAAGCCCCCATCTCCTTCGCCCCCACTGGGGAGTTGTCCAGGGAACAGCTGGGTCCCTGCCCCTGCCTATTTGACTCCGAGCCCTGTAGGGACCTCCAGTTCTGCCCCCGTCTTGGAAGAAGGGGACATGGACCCCTGGGCCCTTCCTCAACTGAAGGACACTGGCCAGTCCTGGAAAGGTAGGTCTGGAGGTGCCAGGGAACTGGCCAAATGGGGCTCCGACTCCCCACGGTCTGAGCATAGAGAGGGTCCCTGGGGAGAGACAGCAAGAAGGGAAAGGTTTGCCCTCAAGAGGCTACATGGAAATCCACCGTGCAGACCAGCACCCAGGGGACCCTGGCCCCTCAGCTTGCTGCGTGCCCAGCCTGTCCCCCTCTGCCCTGTTGCTGGCAGTTATCTTCTGGGAGGCCCCAGGGGCTGTCTGCTCAGCGGTTCCTGCAAAGGGACAGAGGAGAGGAGCCCAGGCCCCGCCTGGCGGGACGCAGAGGCAGAGTCGGCAGGGCAGGCTGGGGCAGGCTGAGGACAGCCCTGCCCTGTGTCCTCAGAGCTCAGCGTGGCCGGCAGGGTGCGACGGGTGACGACTGGTCTCCTCAAGGCCTGCGGGCTCCTGGGCAGCCTCTACCTCTTCATCTGCTCCCTGGACATCCTCAGCTCTGCCTTCCAGCTGCTGGGCAGTGAGTGACTGGCTGGGTGGCCAGGGTGGGCGGGTAGCCTGGTGTCCGTGGCCTCAGTTCCCCTCTCTCCTGGCCGTAGGCAAACTGGCCGGAGACATCTTCCAGGAGAGCGCGGTGCTGTCCAACCCCGTGGCTGGGTTAGTCATTGGTGTGTTGGTAACCGTTCTTGTGCAGAGCTCCAGCACATCCTCCTCCATCGTGGTCAGCATGGTGGCCTCCAAGTGTGAGTGGCCCCTCCTCCCGGGATGGGGGTGGGGTGGGTGGGATGTGGGAGGCTGACGTGGCACTCCCACAGTGCTGACCGTCCGGGCCTCTGTGCCCATCATCATGGGTGTCAACGTGGGCACATCCATCACCAGCACCCTGGTCTCTATGGCACAGTCAGGGGACCGGGATGAGTTTCGGAGGTGAGTGGTGGGGCAGGGGGCGGGGCTGTGTTCAAGGGCCCCAAGGTGCCGACTACTGGGCTCCACCGACCACTCGGCCCCACCCTGCCGGCTATAGGGCCTTTGGGGGCTCGGCGGTGCACGGCATCTTCAACTGGCTCACGGTGCTGATACTGCTGCCTCTGGAGAGCGCTGTATTCCCCCTGGAGAGGCTCAGCGCCTTGGTCCTGGATGTCACTAGTCTGCAGGCTGGGGTGCAAGCGCCTGACATCCTCAAGGTGCTGACACAGCCGCTCACACACCTCATTGTGCAGGTGAGGTCAGCTGCTGCCCTTGGGAGCCCACGTGCCCAGGCATGCTGGGGGGCGGGGGGGGGGAGGGTCTGCAAGGGTCCCGCACACGGTCATGACCGTTCTGTCCCCCAGCTGGACAATGATGTGATTACTGGCAGCGTCACGGGCAACGCCACCAACAGCAGCCTCATTAAGCGATGGTGCGGCACTAGGGGCCAGATGGTGAGGTGCCTCAGACCCCACCCCACCTGCTGAGTTACTTGTCATGCTGCCCGCCCTGAGCATACCCCTGCCTACCCAGACCACAGGGAACAGCAGTGACTGTGGAGCAGATGCCCTTGGTCCCTGCCCCGGGAGGAATGCCTCGGTCACCATGGAGCAGCTGCCCTGTAAGGCCCAGCGCCCACCCCCAGCCCAGCCTGCCCCACCCGGTCCTCTGCTCTCTGCTAACCCACCCCTGCCCTGCCACCAGGCCACCACCTGTTCGCAGGCACAACACTCACGGACATGGCTGTGGGCTTCATCTTGCTGGCTGCCTCCCTGCTGGTCCTCTGCACCTGCCTGGTCCTCATTGTCAAGCTGCTCAACTCCATGCTCCGTGGCCGTATCGCCCAGGCTGTGAGAGTGGTCATCAACGCTGGTGCGCAGGGGATCTGGGGGCAGATGGGGGTGGGGGTGCAGGGGCTGCGCAGGAGGTGACCCAGCTCCCCCCCCAGACTTCCCCTTCCCGTTCGCCTGGCTCAGCGGCTACCTGGCCATCCTGGTGGGCGCCGGCCTGACCTTCGTGCTCCAAAGCAGCAGCGTCTTCACAGCAGCCATTGTGCCGCTCCTGGGTGAGCCTGGCTCCTGGGTGAGCCTGGCTCCTGGGTGAGCCTGGCTCCTGGGTGAGCCTGGTGGGCGGGCACCCAGCCCTGGGGGCAGGGCTCAGAGCCCCGTGCTGACCTCTGGCTCCTCCAGGGGTCGGGGTGATCAGCCTGGAGCGGGTGTACCCCCTCTTACTGGGCTCCAACATTGGCACCACCACCACGGCCCTGCTGGCTGCCCTGGCCAGCCCCTCAAACATGCTGCTCAGTGCCCTCCAGGTACTGCCCTTCATCCCCTCTGCCTGGTCCCCTTGCATCCAGCCCTGCAGGCAGGAGGTGCGGGTCCTGCCCCAGGCTGGCCATGGCCCAAGCTCTCCTGGGATCCAGCTCTGCCTGCCCACTCAGACCTGCAGCCCCACCTCCTTGGACCCCAGGGACCCTGTGGCCATTTCTTGGGCCCCCTTGTGTGGCCCTGGGGTGCCCTTTCTTTGCGCCTCCTCCTTTCTTTGTGGCAGCCCTTCCCAGCCTCCCCCCAGGGACCACTGTTCTACTTCCCCACTCCGTGCTGCTGGCTGCATCCCTTCCAGGCCTCCTGGCCCTGCGGTGCCTTGAGCCCCTCTATTCCACCACCTCCAGGATACCGTCCTCCCAGCCACCTTAACCCAACAGGTCTTGACCTGGACGCTGCCGCATGCTCCTTGAAAGCCCCGCCGCCCCTGTGCTGGGTGCTACTCAGGGTGCCTTTGCCCCATCACAATTCTGCCTCCAGGAAGCCTCCCACCAGCCCCCAGCTCTGTGCCCTGAATGCCGTCCTGTTTATTCTCGGGGGTCCACTGCTCTGAGTCCCTTCTCCACTGCCTGGGTGCCAACAGGGCCGGTTCCCGAAAGCCCAATCTTGCCGGGCTGCATGCAGGAGCCCCAGCGCTCCCCGCTCCCACCTGCCCTCCTGCCTGGCCTGCTGAGCACGCAGCCCCTCCCAGTGCAGGGCCTGCTCCATTGCCCTCCAGGAAACCCCTCGGACTGTACCCACCAACACCGGCTCCTCCAGTCCAACACTGGACTCCATGTGGAGCCCTGCACCTCCTCCCCAGAGCCAGGCCAGAGCCCGGGGCTGGGTGGCCAGACTCACTGAGGGATGAGGTGCAGGGTCACTAGGCATGAGGCGTGGCAAGCCAAGCCACATACCGTCAGTGATGCAGTTACCACGCAGGGTGTCATCTGGGCTCCTGAACCCAAAGTGGGGGGGCGGGCAGGAGGGGCGAGGGCGCCCACACCTGGCCAGAATCTGCCCTCCCAGGTGGCCTGTCTCAGCCAATGAGCAGGACCCCAGACAGGCTTTGGACTTAGTGTCCTTTCTGCCAGGGAGCAAAGGGACGAGTAACTTGGGGAGCCCAGGGGGCCCCATGTCAGGCGCAGGCTCCTGACTCTGCCCGCGCTCACACCCTCCAGGTTGCCCTCATCCACTTCTTCTTCAACCTGGCTGGCATTCTGCTGTGGTACGTGGTGCCCGCCCTGCGGCTGCCCATCCCGCTGGCCAAGCGCTTCGGGGACCTGACCGCCCGCTACCGCTGGGTGGCCATCGCCTACCTACTGCTCAGTTTCCTGCTGCTGCCGCTGGCTGCCTTCGGGCTCTCCCTGGCGGGGGACACGGTGCTGGCCGCGGTCGGGGGGCCCTTGGTGGCACTGGTGCTCCTCCTCGTCCTGGTCAACGTCCTGCAGAGGCGTCGGCCAGCCTGGCTGCCCCGCCCTCTGAGGTCCTGGGCCTGGCTCCCCCTCTGGCTCCACTCTCTGGAGCCCTGGGACCGCCTGCTGAGCCGCTGTTGCCCCTGCAGGGCCTGCAGTACCCCTCAGGCCGCCACCAAGGAGGCCCACTGCTACGAGAACCCCGAGATCCTGGCCTCCCAGCAGTTGTGAGGCTGGGATACCCTGAGGTATCCCAGCTGCAGTGGACTTCTGAGTCACCTGGTTTGCCTTCTTTGCAAATAAATGAGGTTGTGACCCAGATGTGGGGGGTCTTTACTCCCCGACAGGACTGCCTGGGGATCCCCCCCCTCCAAAGGGTGCTGGGGTGGAGCAGCGCCTTTGCTGCCCTCTAGCGGACACTAGGGGGCCCGTGCTGAGCCGGCATGGGAGCCGGTGGTCCCCGTAGGTGTGGACACACAGATGACCCCCCCCCCGACCCCAGGCAGCACCCCGGAGCACGGACACTTCCTGCAGCAAGAAGCTGGGGTCCAGGGAGGTTGGATGAGGCTGGGGCTCTTCCCCATGGGTGCAGGGAAGAGGGGTGGCCGGCCTCCACTTCCCACTGCCCGGGAGGATGCCTGTGAGGAAGCCGCAGGCTCCGGCGCTGGCAGTCCTCCCACTGTCCAGCCATTGTCCCCCACCCCCGTTGCCCTGGAGGACGCCATCACTGGACTGCGGGCAGGCACCCCTCGCCCACTGCTACTCACGGTCCTGTTCTTTTACCACCCCCAGCCCCTCTCAGTCCCCTCAGGACTGCACCCCGTGTGCCCCAGGCCCTTCAGTCCCTCACCACTCCCATGAACCCAGCCCCCTGACCCCCAACAAATTCCTAGGACTCCTGAGCCTGGGTTCACCCTGTCCACCAAGGAAAGTGGCCTCTGTTCTGAAAGCCATGAGGGGCCTCATGGGAGTGAGACCCCTGGAGCAGGCTCATGCACCCCAGCTTGGGTTCCCCCCACTTCTGTGACCTCAGAACACTCCTGCAGGTCTGACATCAGCCTCACGATCCCTCTGATGGAAGTCCCCTGAGGAGGGGCGGAGCCTAGCTAAGTCCCTGGGGAGATTGGGGGCGCAGTGAGAGGGGAAGAGAGAAAGACCCCATGTACCTCTTCTTCCGGGGCGTGTGAGGCCGCCTCGGGCGGACCGCCAGGTCCTTTGAGGCCACAAACGACTGTCTGCCTGCTGCCCAGCCTAGAGGTAACACACCCTCCCGCTGGGACCATGGCCACCGGTAAACAAAGCGATCCTTGTGGCTCCTCCAACAGCTGCGGGCTGGGGCAGGAGGGCCTGGCGCCCAGCACTCCCACGGCCCCTGCCTGGGCTTCCCTGTGCCCTCGGCCTGCATCCCACCAGTCCACAGGCCCCCACTGGACCCACCTCTCCACACAGCCACAACACCCTTGGCTGGGGGTGGGGACCTACAGGGCCAAGCAGCTCTGCACAGCAGCAGCAACCATGTCAGGCGCAGTGACCACAAGGAGGCTCCAGCTGTCTTGTTGCCAGCCTGCGTCCACCTTGCCGGGACAATGGTAGGGGCAAGGCGGACAACCTGGGGCCATTGAGAGCTCTGGGGCTCACACCTGAGTGGGTCGCAAAGCCTCTATTTGCCATACTGAAATGCCAGCCCTGTGGACACTGGTCACAGGGGCCTTTTCCAGGAGGTCTCAGGGCGTGCGGAGCAACCTCAGAAAGGCTTTGCACAGTACAGGGTTGGGGGGACCTGAGCTATTCCCTCTCACTGATTTGTGACAACTCAGTGCTATGAGGCCACATGGCCTGCCGGCTGCAGTGCCGGGGCCTGGCTGACCGCGACTTGGGCAGCTAAGCTAGCTACTTTTACAGGGCACTGTGAGGACCCAGGATGCCAAGCAGTGGTCCAGCAAACCCCACATGCCATGCCCTGGACCGCCTTCCTGGTGGGTCTGTGGGGGAGGGGGTTGGTCCCTGAGGACCTGCTGGGCCTGACCTGGTGACTCACCCTCCAGGCCAGGACCAGTCCTGAGGAGCCAGCTGCAGACCACTCTCCAGGGGATGGAAAGGTTAATCTGCATCCAGCATGCTGCTTGTCCCAACAGTTTTACTCGCGGAGGAACAGTTCAGTCGTACACGGTAACATGTCGTAATACACGGTAACATGTTGTAATGCCGCAGTGTGCCGTAACACCCTGGGACTGTGCGTTACGCAGGAGGGAAGGGGCCCCGTTCCCGCTAGAAGACAGGAGCAAGGAGGTATCCCCCCAACACACTTACATTGGGGGCCTAGGAGAGTAAGAAGTTTACTCTGAAAACCAGAATCTAGAGAGGCCCAGTGGCCACCACCAGGAAGGCTGTCCAAGGCAGACCTGAGGGTGTGATTTATCCATTTATAAATGTTAACAAGAACATAACGCAGGTGTACTGTTTTTAAGGCGATTGATTAAAAGTGCGACCGCATGTAATTGTTTTTCCTTCATAAGATCCCTCCACAAACACAAACATAGACAGTGAAAATTAAAGGAATTTTGTCAGCCCAGGCATGTTGATCTGTGGTTGGGGTAACAGAGCAGGGGGCCCGGAGATTGGAGCATGCCCGCGCCCAGGGAGGTCTGGGCGCCGCCCTCGTCTCCACGGAGCTCGGTGCGCTGGGGGCGAAATACCAAGGCGACGGGCACCAGGCCAGCGCCGTCTCCATAACAAGCTCGCGGCTGCTGGGCAGAGACCCGCCCTCCCCTCCACTCCCCTCCCCTGCTTCGGGCCCGGCGCAGCGGCCCACGTGCTCCCTCACCTGACCGCCACAGAGCGGGCGTGCCGACCAAGGAGGGGGCGCAGGGAGCCCAAGGCCTCCGGCGTTCTGGGGGAGGGCCCCTACTCCACCGACACGCCGGCCCGGCGCCGCCGCCCCTTAGCAACCGAACCCTGTTTGTCTCTCCAGCGAATGGCCTGGCGCCCCTCCTCTGTTTCGAGACCCCGCAGGGTAGCCTCGGCCACGCGCGGCCCCGTTTCACCGCAGTCCGAGGCAGCAGTGCACGCCCTCCAGAAGCGCACGCCCGGGCCCGCGCTCTCGCTCATCGGGTCTGCGGGGACGCCTGCACGCGTGCGCGCCGGCCCGCAGCCCGGTCTGCCTTTCCCAGCGCCTGCTCGGGACTGCGCCCGCCTTCGGCCCCGCCAGCCGGAGTCCCCGCGCGCCCCAAGCCCGCGCGCGCCCCGCGGCACCGCGGCACCGCGGCGGTTACCAAGACGCTGGCCCCGCGCAGCCAATAGCGCCCTCTCCGGAGCCAGCCAATGAGAGAACAAATCAATCATTTGAAACACCCAATGGGCAGAGCACCACCGCGCGAAGGGGCTCATTTTGATAGGGAGAGCGGAGGCCGCGGCCGACCAATAAACAGCAAACGGCGTTGGGAAGGCGGGCGTGAAGCTTCTCGATTGATGGGTTTCAGCCAATCGAACGAGGACGCTTGCCAGCCTCGTTCTGACAGTCCAATACGAAACTGGCGGAGGCGGGTGCAGTGGGTATATAAGCGTTGGCAGAGCGTCGGTTGTAGCATTCTGCGTGCCCGCTGCGTAGTTCTTTGCTGTGTCTTCCCGCCTGCGCCGCAGCCGCCATGAGGGAGATCGTACACCTGCAGGCCGGCCAGTGCGGCAACCAGATCGGCGCCAAGGTGGGCGGCGGGGCTCCGGGTCCCTGCGCGGGTGGGCCTGCGGGCGGAGCGGGAGGGAAAGATGGCGGCCGGCGGGCGGCGCCCCCGCATTGCGGCCCCGCGCGGGGCCAGGGCCGGGGCTGCGGTCGGAGCCGGGGCGGGGGCTGCGGCGCGGGTCCCCGGGGACCGGACCGGCAGCAGGGGGGGAGGGGAGGGGGAGAGGGCCGCGCCCGTCCGGGGCGGGGCCGGCTCCGGGCAACGCCGGCGTGACTCAGCCCCGGCCCGCCCGCGTCTCTCGCAGTTCTGGGAGGTGATCAGCGACGAGCACGGCATCGATCCTACCGGCACTTACCACGGGGATAGCGACCTGCAGCTGGAGCGGATCAACGTATACTATAATGAGGCCACTGGTGAGACCCCGCACCCCTTGCCCAGTCCTCTCCTACTGCCCGGCGGTCGTCCCCTCGCTGACGCCCTCCCTCCTCCCAGGTGGCAAGTACGTGCCCCGCGCCGTGCTCGTGGACCTGGAGCCCGGCACCATGGACTCAGTGCGCTCGGGGCCCTTTGGGCAAATCTTCAGGCCAGACAACTTCGTTTTCGGTGAGCCACAGATGGGGGCTGGGCGGTGGGCTGTTAGCCAGGACGACTCAAAGGTCAAGGGGTGCCCAAGGTCACCGCCCAGAGAGCTGCCGGGCGGAGGTCTCCTCCACTCTGTACCTTGAGCAGAAGCTAGGGCCCCTGGCCGGACACCCTCCTCCCCCTCGCTAGTCACTCAATCCCCTTTCCTAAAGCAGCTTTGGGAGGGAGGCCCAGCTGTCCGCCCGCAGGGAGGCAGCGGCAGATGTAATCTCCCCACAGTGAACGCAGTGGCGGCTCATCTGTCCTTGGGAATTGGCAGGGGCTGCCTGCGGGAGGGGCTGGCTTATTGTTAAGCCACCTTAGTTCAACCCTTAACTTAATTTTTAAGTGGGTAGGTTGCTTCTTGATTTGGGGGTCTGTCTGCTTTACTTCAGGGGTGAGTTCTGTGTGGCACTTCACACCACTTTACCTGGCTCTTTTTGGCTTGCCGATTAGTGGTGACCACAAGCCTGGCTAGAGTCACTGGCTGCCCTCTCTTGCAGGTCAGAGTGGTGCTGGAAACAACTGGGCCAAGGGCCACTACACGGAAGGTGCAGAGCTGGTCGACTCGGTGCTGGATGTCGTGAGGAAGGAGGCTGAGAGCTGTGACTGCCTGCAGGGCTTCCAGCTGACCCACTCCCTGGGTGGGGGCACAGGGTCTGGGATGGGTACCCTCCTTATCAGCAAGATCAGGGAGGAGTACCCCGACAGGATCATGAACACCTTCAGTGTAGTGCCCTCACCCAAGGTGTCGGACACAGTGGTGGAGCCCTACAACGCCACCCTCTCCGTCCACCAGCTGGTGGAGAACACGGACGAGACCTATTGCATCGACAACGAGGCGCTCTATGACATCTGCTTCAGAACCCTAAAGCTGACCACACCTACCTACGGTGACCTGAACCACCTGGTGTCTGCCACCATGAGCGGGGTCACCACCTGTCTGCGCTTCCCTGGCCAGCTTAATGCTGACCTGCGCAAGCTGGCGGTCAACATGGTGCCCTTCCCCCGCCTGCACTTCTTTATGCCCGGCTTCGCCCCTCTGACCAGCAGGGGCAGCCAGCAATACCGCGCCCTGACAGTGCCCGAGCTCACCCAGCAGATGTTCGATGCCAAGAACATGATGGCCGCCTGTGACCCCCGCCATGGCCGCTACCTGACAGTGGCTGCTGTGTTCCGGGGCCGCATGTCCATGAAAGAGGTGGATGAGCAGATGCTCAACGTGCAGAACAAGAATAGCAGCTACTTCGTGGAGTGGATCCCCAACAACGTGAAGACGGCTGTGTGCGACATCCCACCCCGGGGGCTCAAAATGTCAGCCACCTTCATTGGTAACAGCACGGCCATCCAGGAGCTGTTCAAGCGCATCTCGGAGCAATTCACGGCCATGTTCCGGCGCAAGGCTTTCCTGCACTGGTACACAGGCGAGGGCATGGATGAGATGGAGTTCACCGAGGCCGAGAGCAACATGAACGACCTGGTGTCCGAGTATCAGCAGTACCAGGACGCCACGGCCGAGGAGGAGGGCGAGTTTGAGGAGGAGGCCGAGGAGGAGGTGGCCTAAGGCCGCTGGGTATGCGGAAGCGTGGAGGCCGTGAGAACTCTTTATTCGCTCACAACCTGTCCTCTGATAACCATGTCTCACTGTGTGCACCTGCTCTTCTTCTGTCTTGATGTCACGCTGTACAGATACCACCATTAAAGCATTTTCAGTGTCTGCTTTCTCCTCTCCAGTTCCTTCCGATAGGCCTTGCGGGTGCCGTTGCCAAACGTTAGTGCAAAGTTGTCCCTCATGGCTGCAAGGGCAGCGCTACAGCTGAGCTGCTGGCCCTGCCATGCGCAGTGGATGCTGGGCACAGGCTTTGAGGAGCTGGGGACTGCCCTGGGCACCTGCCTCCGAAGGCAAGCCTCGCCTATTGCACTAAACCTCCAGAGGGCCTGCCGAGCGGAGGCAGCTTTGGTTTAAGGGGTCCTTGGCCCCTTCCACACTGGGGAAGAGGGGGTCTTGGGCCATGCTACCTTGAGGGGCCCCCAGGAACAGTGGGGCAGCATGCATGGGTAGGAGCCCCAGCCACCCGACCCCTCTGCATAGTGGCCTGGTCACTGCACTCACATGGTACGAACCCCATGTAGAAAGGTATCAGGCCTTGGCTGTTGTAGATGGTGGTGGTGGGCCAGTATGTTCTGGGGAGCCTCTCTCCTTGGGCACAGACGGGGTTTCTAAACAGGAACTGTGGAAATGGTAACATGTACTGCCTCTACCAGGCAGGCAGCAAGCAGCCAGTTGTCCCTTGTGGGGGAGGGGGTGTGGGGCTGGGGTTCTCAGGGGTCTCTTGTCCTCCCCTCCCCACCGGCTGCACAGCAAGGAGCCTAGCCCAAGGATGGGGTGGGGCCTATGGGACCACCATGCTGGGCACTCCGGTGGGTACCTGATTCTTATCAAACTCATCCATAGCCTGTGTGACCCCGGCACGGTAATTCAGCCCCATCATCCAGGCAAACTGGGGGATGAAGCCAGCATACCCTGGGGGAGGAAGGAGTCGGGGTGCTGCCCCAGGTCCCCTTCACTACCCACCTGCCCCCTGGGGTGTCGGGAAGCCTGTCCAGGCTCCTTTACGCCCCCGAACATTGGCCAAATGGGAATGGGTGGGCAGGCGCTTCCAGCCGTGGCGAAGCTGGGCTACAAGAAGGGAAGGGCCTGCGGCAGCCCTCATTTTCACCCTCATCCTGCCCGGGCCCCTGAGGGCTTGCAGGGTGGCCCCGGGCCCCGGTCACCCACCTGAGATGGCATTGCGTTGGATCATGTTGGGGTGGTCCAGCTGGGGCAGCCTGTGGAACCTGCCTGCATCTAGTGTCTCCTGCTGGTGCGCTGTGGGTGGGTGCTTGTCCCTCCTGCAGTGGTGCAGCTGGGAGGGGAGGGAGCAAGTTAGGACTCCAGCCCCCACCTAGGTCTGGCTGGGGTGAGGCTCAGGCCCAGTGCATCTACCATACCTGGTACTGCCCAGGGCCCTCGTGGACAGGGGTGGTGCTCTTCCAGCCCTCCTCCCCGCATGCCAGCCGCAGGCCCGAGTGTCCGAACTCGCTGGAGTCCCCTTTCCTACCTGGTGGGCACGGGGGGTAAGGGGGGTAGGGCATGAAGCCCGCAGGCAGTGAGACCTGCTTGGATACATTCTCTACCCCTGGCATCCCCTCAGAGTCCGCCTCCTGGGGTGAGAACCGGCCCAGGATCTCAAAGTTCTTGTAGGGCTTCAGACCTGTGGACAGGGCAGCTGTGAGTGACAGCGGGCAGGAGGGAGGGGCAGGGCTGGGAGCAGTGGGCGGGGCTTACCCGAGTAGTGGGGGATGTAGGGTTCCATCAGGTCTCTGCAGGGCATCAAAGGTGGCTTGGACTTGCTAAAGTCCTCGATGAACTTGGGCTTGGATATGGGTGACAGCACAGAGCAGGGGCTCTTCTGCACACTGGGGTCTGTGAGCAGCTGGGCGGTGGTGCGCCCATAGGTGTTCCCCACCTGGTAGCGCAGCTGCGGATAGAAGCCAGCATAGCTGCAGAGGGAAGAGAAGGAGGTAGGGCCAGTGCGCGAGGGCACGACCCCTGCGAGCAGGGTGTGCATCCAGCTTGCCAACCCCTGGCTAGGTACCTGACCTCATCTACAGAATGGGGGTTGTAGCATCACCTGCCTTCTGGGGCGTTTGGGGCTTGAACGGGCAGTACCCTGAGAACAGGCCTGGCCCATAGGACACAAGCTCCATTGTCACCACCACCACCATCCGATTGCCATGCCCCCTATACCTAGCCATCCAACAAGGGGCTTAAAGCATTTTCAGGAATGGTGACAGAACCCAGGCCCAGGCAGAGGCCCTGGAGGCCCACTGTACACAAGCTGGTACCACTGGGAAGGCTTGGCAGGGCTCCAGCCAGACTTTGGCCGCCCAGGAGGCTGGTAGCCACCTGAACAGGACCAGATTTGGGAGGCAGGCGGGGAGAGCTGCTGCTGGCAGTGAAGGTTGAGCTGAGCATCATTTAGCCCCCATCATGGCGAGGCCCCCAGGGGTGCTCAGGGATTCCGAGCCCTCTTCAGTACATCCTGTCCCACCTTTCCCCCCAGAGCCATTGCAGACTTAGGTCTGGTTCCTTGCCAGCATTTTTCGTTTTCTACGTGGCTGTGTGTGCGTGCGTGTGTGTAGGTGTGCACACACTGTGGAGGGTTCGTTTTATTTTACATGGCGTCCATGCCTATCAGCTTACTCTGGATGCTTATCTTTAAAGTGTGGAACACTCTATGGAGTAAGCGTCCGGCGTTTCTTCCGGCAGCCTCTGCCAGCTGCTGGGCCGTTCCAGGTTGGTTTTCTGCTCTTGACCTGCTGCCCACCTGGTATGGCTCTCCGCGCTGGGTCAGCAGGGAGGGTAGGCCTGGGCTCTGGGCAGCCCCGCCCCAGGCCCCTCAGCCCTTGGGCCTCACCCCCGCCCTGGTGACCAGGTCTGGGGTTCCCCTCACAGCTGGCCTTGAACATAGGCCACAGCCTCCCTGCGGGGGTCTGGTGCTTACCCAGGGATATAGTGAGGTTCTGGTGTGAAGAGGGTGTGTTTCTGAGTAGCTGTCATCTAGCCTCAACTCCGCCTTTACTGGCTGCAACCCCTTCCTGGGGCTGGCTCCCTTCCCTGGGAGGGTCCCTGTTGCCTGGCAACCATTGTGAAGAGTCCCATTGTTGGGCACCACCTGGGCCAGGCCCTCCTTGCGCCTGTGAGTGTTCCCATTTTAAAGGTGAGACACCAAGGCTCAGACAGGCAACAGGCTGGGAGGTGTGACGCTGAGGACCTCGGAGCTCACAAAATTGGGACTGTTGGTGCAGCCGAGGCCCTGCCGGGAGGTTGGGGGCCTGGACTCTTGTTACCCTCAGGAGGCAGCAGTCCCCCAGGATGACGCTAAAGGAACCCCCACCCACCCCTCCTCGGGCAAGAGGCCCTGGAAGCTTTGGCAGCATTGGCACACGCCTCAGCAGTGAAGTTGGCAGGTCTTTCCCCTGGACTTGGGCACTATTTTCCATTTTAAACAAATTAAAAAAAAATTTTTTGTATAGGAAGGTCTTTCTAACCATACAAAATATCATAAAGGAAAAGATTAACAGGTTCAAGTACATGTCAAAAAACAGCGTAAACAATACTAAAAGGCAAACAACGAAGTAGGGAAAAAGTTTGCAACAAGTGTTACAAACAGATATGATATCAGTCTAAAAAAACCTTACATTACAGAAATATGAAAAATTACCACTCCAACAGAAAAATGCATGCATAACGTAACATCTTAAGGAAAAAAGCCAGCGTCAGTAAACATGGACAGAGGGTTGACCCTTTATCAAATAAATGCTAATAACATAGTTCTGTTAAGAAAACTACATCTATAGCCACTGTCAATTTTGCCCCCAGAGAACACTGCAACACCAAAGGTCCCCAGAGCACAGGCTGTGAGCCCCTCATCCTAATAAAATCTGGGCTTCCTCAAGCAGGGCTCCTCTGTCTGTCCACCTGGAGTGCCTCCCAAGGCCAGGCAGGGTCCTTGCTGGATGGGAAGGATCCTGACAGGATGACACTCGATCAGGGTCGGGAGGGCCCAGAGGCTGAGGCTGCGTTTTTGACCAGGCCCTGCCGGTGGATTAAGCCAAGGCCAGCGTGTGGGCTGGCAGGCTGGTCAACTCCAGAGGGCACTGCGAGGGCCCTGGTTGCCCAGCGGGGCTCACGCTCACTAGGGCTCGTAGTTCTTTTGCACTTTGCCTGAGCAGTCCTGTCCATCTGTGACACCTGGACTCTGTTCCTCCAAGCAGAAGACAGGCTCCTGCACCTCAGCCGTGCCTGGGCCATCAGGTAACTACAGGGCCAGGCTGCCGCTAGGGTCATCAGACCTTTCCATTGTTGCTTTGCTTTTCCAAGGGCTAAATTTCTAGCAGGGGCTCCTCCCCCTCCAGGGGAGCCTCCCTGGACCCTCCACTGCACGGAACATCCTTCCAGCTGGTCCTGCACAGCTGGGCCTCCCATAGCACCCCACTCCCTTTTCCACCCTCGCCAGGTGTCAGTCTTCCCTGAAGCCCTGCTAGAATGGACCCCCAAAGTCCAGAGGAGGGTGAGGATTGGGACAAGGATGGGGGATGGGGGGAAAGGAGGCAAGCTAACGGTCCTCCTGGCCAAGATGACCCAGAGTGACCCACCTGGCAGGTTGGGGGAGGGGCCCCTCCAGGGCAGGACAGTGCTCCTCCCTCCAGTGTCCCAGCAACAGCGGTGGGGTGGGGTGGGAGTGGGAGTATGAGGGGTCAGTGAGGTCACAGAGCTCCCTGGAAGGCAGCCAGAGACCCTGACAATGAATTTTGACCAGAAGGCTGTGAAATTCCTGGCAAATTTTTACATCAATGGAGGCAAACACTGGACCCATGGGCCCCTGAGGCTGAAGTCCTTTGTGACTACACCACAGTAACTTCCCAGGGCGGTGGGCGAGTGGGGCGGGTGCGTGTGTGTGTGTGTGTGGGGGGGGGCAGCTCCCATACAGCCGCCAGCGGGCTGGGTGGATGGTGGCTGTCCATCTCCTTTGCAGGCCCATGGCTGCTGTGCTGTTGTCAGGCCCAGGGCCAGAGGCCACCTGGGACAAAATGTGGCCCCCAGCAGTGCAGGAGTCCCCGGCAGGCCTTAGGATGCACGTGGGCCTCCTCCAGGAGCCTCCGCCCATCTGCGTCCGGAACCCAAAGGAGCTGTGTGAGTGGGGGTCCCTAGTCTGGTCTGGGGAGGCAGGGCAGGGGCGGGAGGGGCCTCCTGGGAGGACCCAGGGTCAGAGCTTGCTTCCTGCCAGGGCTAGAGCGACGCCCCCCCATCGTGACCGACCTGGACATACCCGGTCCCACCAAGTACCCGGTGCCCGATGCTTCCGTGAGAGAATCCTCCGCGCACCCCCACTTCAGCATCGGCCGCAAGCACCCCGCCCGCGGTGCGTGCCCCTCCCTGCGTGCCACCCACCGAGGCCCAGGTCCTAGGAGTAGGGCCACGCCCCCAGCCTTCTGTCCCCAACTATGCTGCCCCCACTGCAGAGAGCAGTGGCCGCAGGGCGTGGCAAACCATGTGGCTCCAGAGTGAAACTCCCTTCACACAGAAAGCCGACTTTAACCGGGAGCGAAAGGTGGAGCGCTCTCCCAGGAGGTCCTGCGGGGGCGGAGCCTTGAGGGACGGGGTGGGAGGGGCCTGTGAGGGACGGAGCGGAGCCTGTAGCTGCGTCCTCCCTCGCAGTGGCCATCGCCAGCCGACCACTGTCCACTCAGCGGAACTGCATTCCCAGCCTTCAGCTTCGGCCCCCGCCGCTCTGCCTCCAAGGCAGTACAGGCGCGCTCGCGCCCCGGCCTGCCGCGGGTCTGGGGTACAGGTCACTGTGCCCAGCCCCCGCTGCAGGCCCCTCCGCAGGTCCCGGGTAGCGAGAAGCGCTCCAGCCCCAACACCTACGACATCCTTCCCGGGTGCTGTCTGCAGACCCCGCGCCCGCCCGCCTTCTCCATGAGCCGCTCGCCCGCGTTCGCGTCTCGGGTCAGCTCCTGTAAGGAGGACTGGGAGAATGGAGGCCTGGGAGGGGGCAGGGCGTACAGGAGCCTGGGGAGGTGGGAGCTGGGCAGTGGCTGGTGCTGCAGTACGCATTAGGCTCCCTCCGTCTCCCTCTGCAGCCCGTAACCCCGGCCCAGCTACCTACTACGACGTGGAGGATTGCTGTAACTCGCGTTTCCCCTCAGCACCCGGAGTGGTCATCCAGGGCGTGCGGAGACCCAAGCGCCATTGACACAGGCCCCTTCTGCACGCTTTAGAGCCCGCTGAACACACCCTGCCCCGCCGGTTATCACATGGCCCCTGCCCCCGGGAGCCTTCCCAGGCCTCCCTTTGGAACTCAGCGACCCCAGTCTGGCCTTCTGACCCTTTGGGCACAACGACCCACCCTCCTGGCTGGCTGACCCTTCTGTGAGTTGTGGCTGAGGAGGGGCCAGGTCAAAGCTCCCACCTGCCCACCCCCCTCCTATATAGAGATGATGTCAGTTCTTCCAAACTCTGTCATGTGTGTGTCTGCCATCCCTCACCCGGTGAGCTGTCCTGCAGATGTGGCCTGCAGCTGATCTGTCACATCTGACTTTCCCTGACCAGGGGTCTCCCTTTGCTTCCTCTTAGGAGCTCTCTTCTCTAAGATGGGTGGGATGGCAGCCTGGGACTCCCTGGCTTGGGACAGCATGGGAGGGGTCCCTCTGGGCAGTGCAGGGCACCCCCATCTAGCCATGTCACCCAGGGGACCTGGTCAGCTGCCAGTCTACCCAAGGGGCAGGCTGCTTGCTGAGCAGAGAAGCTGACTTTGAGGTGGAGGTGGGGGCCAGATTCCCTGAACTGCCATCTTGAGGAGAGGTCAGCCTGCCCAGACTAGCTTATCAAGGCCTGACCCCACTTGCCCCAGCCCTTGCCCAAAGACCCTGTGAACTTGCCCAGGACTGTGCAGGCCAAGCCACAGGCAATAGACTTTCTGGGCCTTCCCTGGTTAGGGCCCTGTCCTGTGGCCTGGCCATTGGGCTGTCAGCCTGCTCTCCTACCCAGGAGTGGGCCTAAAGACTGCCTCCCTGCAGCTGCTGGTGGCTTTTGTTACGGCACCAGTTCCTCCAGGAGTCCTCCCCCACCCAAGCCCTGGGCCAGACCCTTTCCTGTTTTCTCTGCCAGAGCTTGGCTCCATCAAAAAGGCACTGTAACAACTGCTCCCATGGTAGTGGCATCAACCTTCTGCAGGGAGGCCAAGGTCCAGGGAGTCTGAGCGCATTCACCTATGACCTCTAGGGCTGAACCAGCTGGAGGTTGAGCCCCAGCGCCCCTAGGAATCAGAGTAGTGGGACTGCAGATGGTCATTATTGTGCCCTGGGCTGCCCATCTCAGCCAATGAGCAACGGAGAGAGCTGTGGGGCCCTGGCCTTAGGAGCTTGGCCCACAGTGGAGGGACCAGGAGCCCTACTCAGAGCTATACCATTAGCAACTCCTAGGGCTCAAAGCCAGAAGTGGGACCAGCAGGAAGGATGGAGCCATCCGCTCCAGCTGGGCTGAGAGGGTTTCCTGAGGATGCTGTGGAGTAATGAATGGGCTTTCAAGGATGAGCAAGAGTTTGCTGGGCAGCAGAAAGGGACTTTCTAGCAGAGCAAATCTTGGGCACTAAGGCACATGGAAAGGGAGAGGGTATGACATCTGGTGCGCTAAGCTTGGGGACACTGGGCTGGTGGGCTGGAAGATGACCGGGAGGGGTTGGACAGGCTGTAGCTACTGGGTCGAAGGGCTTACACACTTAACAATAGGGAGCCCAGTGAGGGTGCAGAGCAGGGAGTGCCCACCGGCCCTGTGAGCTTCTGGCACCGCAAAGGACAAGGGACACCATGAAGCCAGGACTCACATTTACAGCCTCAGCTTCAGGGCCTACCACCTTGGGTTAGCCTGGGAGTTAGCATGGTGATGTGAGGTCAGCCATCCCTTGTCCACTCTCACTGCCAGCCCAGGTCTCTGCTGGGCACAGGCCACTGGAACTCACCTAGGGGGAGAGGGCTATGTACCTGGTGGGACCCAGGTGCAGGGCACTTCTAGCGCTGCAGTGCTCCATTTTTCTCAAGCAAAAATATTCTGTCAGCGTAAAACAGAATCAACTAGGTATTGTCACCAAAAAGGGTTTATTTGGGGAAAAAGAAAGGGCTGCAATCGGGCAGCTGCAGACGCGGTGAGCCACTTGCACGCACAGAACAAGAGAAAAATGAAGTACTTTATAGAGGGAAGAGGAAGTTAGGGGCGGGGCTGGTAGGCAAGAACTCTGACGTAACCCTAGAGTTCTTCCTGTAGGGCTCTCCGATGACGTAAGTGCGAGAGCTCCTCCCACAAGCCCTCCCGATTCCCTCTAGGTCTGTCATAAATTTGATCTCTTCTCAACGTCAAAAGGTTGCTGTGAGGTCAGAAACAGGATTTTTCACGATCATAAAAATAAAATATAGTCGGCTAAAATATCAGTTCTTAAATTTTTCCAGTCGGCCACCCAGCTTCTGTGCCCGCCCCCTCCCCTGTGCTCCTTCCCGCGGTGCCCCATGCACCCCGTCCTCTGCCCCCACCGGCCCGGGCGGGGTTTCTTCTGTGTCTACAGAAGAGGACAAGGCCAGAGACGAGAGTGGGCTGCAAACCTGGCTGGGCCGAGACCGCCGCGGGGCGGGAAGGAGGACCGCCTGGGCGTGGCCGGGGTGGGCGTGGTCAAACGAACAGCGGGGCCTGGGGGGCGGAGCCTCGCTGGAGGTTCGCGCTGTATCTGGACGCTTTTGTCCCGCGCAGCCGCTCAGCCTGGCGCGGCGCCGCTCCCAGGAACCACTGCGCGGCCGCGGCGTTTCCGGGGTGGCAGGTGGACCCCACCGTGCGGGGCGGAAGTGGGCGGCCGCGGTCGGAGCGGACCCGCGCTGCCGGCAGGCCCTGGTCGAACTGGAGGGCGCCGGGGAAAGGAGCTCAGGCGGCCCCCGCGGCCCGGGAGAGCGGACTGCCGGCGGGCCTGCGGCGGCCGCGGCGGCGCCGGCGGAGCGCGGCGGGGATGGGGCGCCGAGCCGGGCCGGGGCCTCGGCCTTGTTCGCCGGGCTGCAGGATCTGGGCGTGGCCAACGGCGAGGACCTGAAGGAGACGCTCACCAACTGCACGGAGCCGCTCAAGGCCATCGAGCAGTTCCAGGTGGGGCGGGGTGCGGTGGCCGGGCCGTCGGGGCGTGAGTCAGGCAGGGGGCGGGGTTGCTGGGAAGTGGGCGCGTTTCTCGCTCCGAACGCTATGTCTGTTCCCCGGGATGGAGGAACCAGGTGTCCTGAGCTAGTGCCCCATTGACGGCCATCTGGGTGGCTTCCAGTTTTTGTAGTTACAGCCAGCGCTGCTGGGAACAGCCTTGCAGCTGCCTCCGTATGTATTCAGGGCATCCCGATCCCGAGTGCCTGACCAGACATGGCTGCGGCTGGGCTGAGGGTTCTGTTGTGTCTCCTCCAAGTGAGCAAAATGGGGCCCCACGCTGACCCTCTGCTTCCTCAGACAGAGAATGGCGTGCTGCTGCCTTCCCTGCAGTCGGCTTTGCCCTTCCTGGACCTGCACGGGACGCCCCGGCTGGAGTTCCACCAGTCCGTGTTTGACGAGCTGCGAGACAAGCTGCTGGAGCGCGTGTCGGCCATTGCGTTGGAGGGGAAGGCCGAGGAAAGGTGGGTCCCCTTCTCAGCCTGGGCACTGACTTAGCAGTGCTCACTGTCCCCTTGGCTCCACATCCCCACCCAAAAAGGGGGTCTCTTCCCCGCGTGTCCTGCCTGTGGAGACTTGTCCTTTTAGCCGTCTTCAGTCTGGGGACAGGCAGGCAGCCACTTCTGACTGGGTCCTGTGCAGCTTCCTCAGTCGTCCACGTCTTCCCAGGTACAAGAAGCTGGAAGACCTTCTAGAGAAGAGTTTTTCTCTGGTGAAGATGCCGTCCCTGCAGCCGGTGGTCATGTGCGTCATGAAGCACTTGCCCAAGGTAAGAGCGGTGGCCTGGCGCACATGGGGCGCTCGTGCCCAGGCCTCACTTGGTCCGGGCGTCAGCTTGGCTCCGGGGAGGTTTCCTGAGAGGACTGCCCAAGCAAGGGCTGCTCGGAGGCACACTGTCTGCCGGCTTCCCCTGATGAGCCCCGTGGAAACAGAAGCTTGGCGTGTGAGGTGGGATGTGGGCCTTCTGGGCAGGAGCTGTGTATGTTTAGCATGGCTGCCTGTGCCACCCAGGGCCTGGGGACCAGCCACAGCTGCTCCTTGTGCCTGGGGCCGGGTGCGAGGTGGTCTCTGGCCCATATTGAGGCAGACGCTGGGCATAGGCGCTGCTCATGGGCAGCCTGTGGGTTGTGTAGGTTCCCGAGAAGAAGCTGAAGCTGGTCATGGCCGACAAGGAGCTCTACCGGGCCTGCGCTGTGGAGGTGAAGCGGCAGATCTGGCAGGACAACCAGGCACTGTTTGGCGACGAGGTGTCCCCGCTGCTGAAGCAGTACATCCTAGAGAAGGAGAGCGCGCTCTTCAGCACAGAGCTCTCCGTGCTGCACAACTTCTTCAGTCCGTCCCCCAAAGCCAGGCGCCAGGGCGAGGTGAGGCCAGGCTGCACGCAGGCGGGCTGACGGAGGGCTCACCCGGCCAGCCCCTTCCCCACCCTGACTTCGGTGGGTGGTTCTGCTCCCGGAAGGGCAGGCTTGTGCTGTGGCTGGTACGGGGCTTGCCACGCTGTGCCCGGGTGTGGGTCTTTTGGGTTTCACGTCCTCAGCGTTCTGCAAACGGGCCAGCTCTTCAGTTAAGCTCAGTGTGTCCTCTCTCAGCTCTGGGAAGTGTCTTCTGTCTTTACGTTTGACTTGTTAGTTTCTTTGACAAACATTTTTTGAGTGCCCACTCCTGCTGTAGGTGCCTGGGCCCTGGAGCTCAGGGTGCTTGCGTGGGGCACGGAGGTCTGGGGGGCAGACGCTACGCAGTGCATGTCACGTGTTGGTCGCTGAGAGCTCGAGGTGTGGACAAGGGCTGTGGCGACGTGAGGTCGTAGAGGAGGCAAGGCAGGGCCAGGTGGGCGGGGGTGGGATGAGGAAGGGGAGCCAGGCTGGGGTGTGAGGAGGGGCAGGCCGGGGGTGTCCTGGGCGACGAGGCTGGTGGGGCGGGGGTGTGGCTGGGAGGGCTGGAAGCCTTTCCCAGTCAGGTGGGGTCACTGGGCCTGACCTGGTTCTAGAATAACTGCGCAGCCATGGGGAAGGTGATGGCAACAAGTGGCCAGATACTGGCTGAAAGGCATTTTGCGGTTTTTTTTGCCTTCTTTCATTTTCAGTTTCTATGTGTTTTGTGTGAGGTAGATACAGCCTCACGTTTTCTCCCAAACGTCTGGCGGCTGGTCACAACCCTGCTTCTACACCAGGCTGAGGAGTGTGTCTGCCCTGCCCTCTGTCTTCCAGCTTGTCTTGGGGGAGCCTGGCCGTAGGCTGTGGTCTGCCCGTGGGCTCCTGTCCCTTCTTCACGCTGCACTCCCAGCCACGGTCCTTTTGGGAGCCCGGGTCCTCCCTGCTGTGTGGCCTGAATCCCTGCAAGGGGAGAAGGTGGCAGCAGGTTAACGCGTCGCCCTGTGGTCCTTGGCTGTGGTCCAGCTGCTGAGCCATAGTTGTGTGCTGGGCCACCTGTGAGCCGCAGCCCCGAGCTGTACCCCGTTGTTCGCTTGCAAGGCAGGCCTGGGTCATGGTCAGGGCTGGTACGTGTTAGTTGTCATTGGTACTAGAGGTGCCCAGTACGTGGGCGCCAAGACTCGGGTCACATCCCCGGCTCTGCTCTGCTCGTCAGGGTACCCAAGGCCTGTTGTGTCCTCGGCAGGGGCTCTCAAAGTGGCCTGTTGGGTTGGTCACTGCTCCTGCCATCTCTGCTGTTCTCTTCACTCACTCTGTCCAGCCTGGTGCCTGTTGGGCTGCTGTGATGTCCATCACCAGGTTGCCCTGTGTGTCCTTCACACCAGTGGGCCGAGATTCATCTCCTGTTGATGGCCAGTGAGCAGCGGGCAGAGCCCCTCCTATCATCTGGGTCCTGAGTGGAGGCAGATGGGGGTGGTGACCCTGCAGAGGGAAGAGTGCAGGCGCTGGAGATGGGTGGGTGGCCAAGGGCCTCAAGCTGTGGGGGATGGGGAGCCGGGCAGCCTGGGCCTGGGAGGAGGGCAGCAAAGTGTTGACCGCACACTGAGCACAGTGGCTGCTGCGTGTTCTCAACTGGTCCTGAGTCTCCCCACATCAGTTGACTGAGTGGGCAGAGCCAGACCTCCTGAGGGCTCTGGTGGAGTGCAGGGTCACAGGCCAGTGACCTTTCAGGGAAGCTGTGGGCCTGACGTGGGCTCCACCTCCTTACAAACCAGAAACGCTGCCACCCAACACAGAGCCGGTGTTTGGTGAGAGGAGACTTTCAGCTCAAAACAGAAAGGGTGAATGGTAGGGAGCTGTGTGTGATGCCATGGCCGTGTGTGTCTGTGCAGCCATGTGTGACACCGTGACCATGTGTGTCTGCGGCTATGTGTCCGTGGCTGTGTGTGACACTGTGGTCGTGTGTGATACCATGTTCTTGCGTGTCTGTGTGGCTGTGTTTGTCTGTACGTGTGTGTGTGTCTGGGCCATGTATGACACGGTAGCTGGGGCTCCCGCCCACAGGTGGTGCAGAAGCTGACGCAGATGGTGGGGAAGAACGTGAAGCTATATGACATGGTGCTGCAGTTCCTGCGGACCCTCTTCCTGCGGACACGGAACGTGCACTACTGCACTCTGCGGGCGGAGCTGCTCATGTCCTTGCATGACCTGGATGTTGGCGACATCTGTTCTGTGGACCCCTGCCACAAGGTGGCGCCCCGGTCCTTACCTTGCCCAGCCTCCCTCCCCTCTGGTCTTTTCTTGGCTTCTGTCTCCCCTCCCCGTGGATGGGATGGTCTTGGCACCTGGGCTCTGCCAACCCACCTGGCCACCTAGTATGCGCCTGCCCCTCCATCTCTGCCACCTTGGCTGGGGATGGGTCAGGGTCGTCCACGGTCACAGCTGCTCACCTGCCCGCTCCATTATTTCTCTGCACCAGCCGGCCAGGCCCCGCAGCTGCTGCTTCAGCTTTCTCCAGGCTTTCCAGGGCTTCTGATGTCCCCACCCCCCAACCCCCTTTGCTCTCCACCCTAGATCCCCCAAGGGCTGCTCTTGGCAAGCACCGTGTTCCAGGACCGGGCTTTCTGCACTGCCCTTGTCCCCAGCACGGACTCTGTGCAGCCAAGACCACATCACCTCCTAGGGGCTTGTGGTGTCACGCTCTGAGACTACAGCACCTTCCCCCACAGTGGGGCTGCCAGAGGGGCCTCTTTTATAACCAAACACAGATACTGCGCTCTCCACTCAGGCCCTCGGGCCTGTGCGTTTGCGCCTCTCTGTCCCTGGCACAAGTCCTGATACCGAGCCAGGCCTTGGTGATGTGACGCAGCTGTCCTGACTCCTGCCTGAGCCTTGGGTGGCACGAGAGGTGAGGCTGAACAGGAGTGAGCAGGGTTCTTCCCACAGTTCACCTGGTGCCTGGACGCCTGCATCCGTGAGCGGTTCGTGGACAGCAAGAGGGCCCGGGAGCTGCAGGGCTTTCTGGACGGAGTGAAGAAGGGTCAAGAGCAAGTCCTAGGGTGAGGGCTGGCCTTGTGAGGTCCTGTCCGCGGGCGTCCATATGCGCACACTGTGGTCGGGGGGGTTTATATTCCAGCACGTTTTAGAGGAACTGCCTGGCATCCCGTGCCCTTGGCTGAGACTCGACTGTGGCCAGGCACCCCGGTGGGGCCTGCCCCCCTGCTGAGGAGGGGCCTGCTGTGCCCAGTAGTTGTCTCTGTGGGACCCTGGCTGAATTGACAGAGCCTGGGTCAGATTTTCAGAACCAAATGGAATCTTAATTAGGTTTTTAACTTCTCAGTATTTTGAGTGAGTTAAGTGCAAGTTTCAAACTGACCTTTTCTTGGGAAGGCGTCCAAAGTGGAATGGGCTCTCCCCGCATGGAGGGGCCGTCTCTCCAGGTCTGCGGCTGAGGCAGCCCAGCTTGGGGCTGCCCCCCACACCCTCCTCTCCCCGCCGCCAGGATTTTCCCATATTAATGCCATTGACTCGTCTCTGCAGGGACCTGTCCATGATCCTGTGTGACCCCTTTGCCATCAATACCCTGTCACTGAGCACTGTCAGGCACCTGCAGGAGCTGGTCGGCCAGGAGACGCTGCCCAGGGTGAGTGCGCTCGGCTGGCCACGCTGCCTTCCGGATGGGCCATGGGTGTGGATCGCTGGAGCCAGGGCCGTACTGCCCCGGCAAGAGCACGTGCGCCCCAGCACACACAGCGCGTGCAGCCTAGCCAAAGCCGTGGCACCGGGGGAGAGTGGCTGAGGCGAGCCGGCGCTGAGGCCCCGTTCCCCCGCAGGACAGCCCTGACCTCCTCCTGTTGCTCAGGCTGCTGGCGCTGGGCCAGGGGGCCTGGGACATGATCGACAGCCAGGTCTTCAAGGAGCCCAAGATGGTAACGGATGCAACGGGAGCCTGTCCACCCCTTTCCTGCGAGGGGCTGTGGGCCAGGCATCAGGAAGGTGGCATGGGGTGGGACATTGCGGCACAGGTGGGGACGCTCTGGGGCCTCTGCCCTAGGAGGTGGAGCTCATCACCAGGTTCCTGCCAACGCTCATGTCGCTGGTGGTCGACGACCACTCCTTCAACGTGGACCAGAAGCTGCCTGCCGAGGACAGGGCTCCGGTCACATACCCAAACACGCTGCCAGAGACTTTCACCAAGTATGGCGTGTGGGGCTAGGGGCGGGGGTTGCCCCGTGGGCTCCCTGGGAGGTTGGCGGCCGGCACTCCTCACTGAGCGTCCTCGTCGGGCAGGTTCCTGCAGGAGCAGCGCATGGCCTGTGAGGTGGGGCTGTACTACGTGCTACACGTCGCCAAGCAAAGGAACAAGAACGCGCTGCTGCGCCTGCTGCCTGGGCTCGGTGAGTGCGCTTCACCCACCCTGCTCCCACCCCGCCACCCTGGCTCCTGCTCCACGCTGCTGACCGCACCGGCCCCCAGCTCTGGCCCTGCTGGCCACCGCTCCCGCCCCACCTGGTCCACCGCTGAGTGTTTGTCTTCTAGAGGTGGTTTTGGTACAAAAGCGAGAAGAGGTCAGCTTTGTGCTTCCACAGATGCCTTCCGCTCTCGTCAGCGCTTGTTGAGGTCCTTTCCACCGTGGTGGAAGAGCCACCTTAACTTAATCTTAACTGATGAGGACTGTGCAGCCTGTCAAGTCCTCAGACATTGGGAGAGCGCCCCAAGCGGCGGGAGGATGGGGTGGGGGTGGGTTGCTGCAAGCCAGGAAGAAGAGAGAGAAGTCTGAGTGGACCCCGTCAAGAGTGAGCTGCAGGTCAAGTGGGGGAGAAGGTGCTCCTGGGAGCCCGGCCTTCCCACTGAGCCCATGGGCCCATGGTCTCCTGCCGGCTCAGGCCTCGTCTGGGTGTTGTGGCTTTTTTGTGAAGATCTTGTGCATTTCTTGCTAGGTGTGTTTCTAGGTCATTGGTGGGTCTATTGGTGGGTGTTAATTTATCCCCAGCCACTATCTAACAGGACGACACCAACTCCTCCTCTTCCCATCTGGAATGAAGTGAGTGTCTGAAGTGAGCGTGGCAGGGCTAACGTCGAGGTGTTGGCAGGGCTGGCACCTTCAGGAGGCTCCCACGATGCCTGTCCTCCCACTGTGAGGAGCCCTTCTTGCATCTCTGCGGTTCTCCTAGCTCCTCCCGTCCTGGTGTCTCTCTCTGTCTCTGGCCCTGCTGCACTCGCCTCCCTCTCAGAAGGACGCTGACATTGCCAGGCCCACCGGGTCATGCAGGCCGTCTCCCATCTTGGTCCCTTACCACAGAAGGTGGCACAGTCATGGCTCCTGGGTCCAGACATGTACGTGTCTCTGGGATGGCATTCTGCCTGTTCAGACACATCCAGGAACAGTTATAAATAACTTGGTCTGTGTCATCCTTTCTGTTTGTTTCAGTGCTTTGTTTCTGTGCCTCTTTTCATTGTCGGCTCTAGACGGGTGTTCTGCTGCGGCGGGAGCATTCGTGCCCCCGGGCAGGTGCGTGTCTCAGCCCCGCCAGGAGGGATGCATTTGTTTGTCCTTGTTATCAGCACTTCTAGTAAGAACAGATGTCGATTTTACAAATTCTCCTGTTTATTTTTTAATTTTTTATTGATTTTTATGAAATCAGAAGAGCACAATATGGTGAAGCCCCCTCCCCACTGTGCATCTCCGTCCCCCCCACCCCCTGTGATGGTCTGGACATCACTCCCACATTTCTGGCACACCAGCTGTGAACAATACAGCAGGTGTATGGACGAAAAAAGGAAGTTCTTAAAACCGTGACTGCAGCGCGTGAGCACGTCGGGTCCATGTCCTGACTCGGGGGCCACCTTTCCCTGATGGTCACATATGTTTTTGTTCAGATCAGGGGCCTAACAAGGGCCTTGCTTCACCCTGCATTTCTTTGTCAGCTCTCAGGTCTTATGGTCTGTAGGGTTAAGAGGGACTTGTTGGGACCAGGGCATTTGTTCCCCGATGGAGACTTTGCTGGCATAGTGACTCCAGTCAGACGTGTGAGGAGCACCCCCAGTGCATCCAGTAGTGCCTGTCTCCCGGAGACCGTCAAGCTCCGTGGGCTTGGGTGGCATCATCTGGACCTGTTTGCGTTTCCGGAACAGCCGCCACAGCCAGCTTGGCCAGTGTGCAGAGTGTGGGGCCGGCTACCCTCCACGGGCTGTCAGAATCATGGGCAGTTACTTTTGCAGTCTCTCTCTCGAGTTTTGGTGTCTGCGATTTCAAAGGAGGACCATTTTGCTCTGCTGTCTTTCTTCTGGACGGCTGAGGAAGCAGTTGGACCTGGCTCGTTGCCACTTTCTTGTTTTTCCTCTAGTTACTGGTCTGTTCAGGTCTTCTTTCTTTTCTGGAGTCCGCTTAACACAAAGTCCCAGGGCTGGCTGAGTGGCTCAGTTGGTTAAGAGATCACTCGAGAGTGCGAGCTCTGAGCAACAGGGTCACCGGTTCAATTCCTGGCCTGAGCTGAGGTGCCGTTGGCGCTACCAACAGGTAACAGGATGGCTTAGCCAAAAAAAACCACAAAGTCCCTTGGCCACTGGGCCGAGCCATGTGTAATGGGCTCCTTCCCCTTCCTTCCTTGGACCCTCGTGTTGGTCCAGGTCCCATCCCCTGCTGGCTCCCACTGTTTGCCTCGCCTGTCCAGGCCTCGGTTCTAACTCAGGAGAAGTGAGCACCATTCTCAGAAGTGCTGCTCTGTAGCCCCCCCATGGCTCACAGGTCCAGGGGCAGGGGTGTGGGTGGCGGGCAAGCTGACGCCTGCTGTGCCTGCAGTGGAGACCTTCAGCGACCTGGCCTTTGGCGACATCTTCCTCCACCTGCTCACGGGGAACCTGGCGCTGCTGGCCGATGAGTTTGCCCTGGATGACTTCTGCAGCAGCCTCTTCGAGGGCTTCCTCCTCACCGCCTCCCCGAGGTACCCAGGCTGGGTGTGGGGCGGGGTGGGGCAGGGGCCTGGCAGCGGTTTGGGCTCTGCAGCAGCTGTGGCCTCTTCCAGGAAGGAGAACGTGCAGCGGCACACGCTGCGGCTGCTGCTCCACCTGCACCACCGTGTGGCCCCGTCCCGGCTGCAGGCCCTGCAGAAGGCGCTGGAACCCACTGGCCAGGTGGGTGCCACTCTGCTTGCACCCGGGGCACGCTGCATGCTGGCTCGTCCCCTCTGTGTGTGTGGACACTTTCCAAGTAGCTGCAGGACCTTCTCCCATCTGTGTGCCTGCCCCACAGAGCGGAGAGGCGGTGAAGGAGCTTTACTCCCAGCTTGGTGAGAAACTGGAGCAGCTGGACCATCGGAAGCCCAGCCCAGCCCAGGCTGCAGAGACCCCGGCCCTCGAGCTGCCACTGCCCACTGTGCCCGCCCCGACTGGGCTCTGATGACACCCCAGGAGCTACTCGGGAGCCGGCTGGGTCCCTGATCAGCCAGCAGAGGCTCTCTGCACCGGACTTGACAGCGGCCCCACGTCTCCTGGGGACAGATTGGCTGCTTCTGGAGACAGGTGGTGGGCTGAGCGCTGAAGGCGGGGTGCTCTTCCTCAGTGCCTCAATCCACCATGATCATCCATGTGAACAAGACCTTGTCTCTGCTCTCCACGGGCCCCTGGCCAGGTCTGTGGAGTGCAGCCCCTCCCCGAGGCCCACCGTGTCTGCCTGGTCCTCCCTCCCAAGCTGTGGAGAGCTTGTCGTCTCCCTGCCTGGCAGGATGGGTTTCCACTACTGTGGGGGAGACAGCCGGGCAGTAGTCGGGCTGAGGAAAAGCCACCTGTTTTCTAAGAGGAGAAGGCAGGGCGCTCAGGTCTGTGGGGAAGTGGGCGGACTGGCCGAATTGGCAGATGTGGTCGGGTCAGCCTGGCTCCCACCGAGGACCTGAGTGTTGGACGGTAGGTGATCTGCTGCACCAGGACTAGCAGGCAGCTCCTCCCCTGGCCAGCAGCACCCACCCACTGCCTCAGTTTACCCTTGGGGTGCTGTGCCCCTGGCTCAGCTGCACTGCCTTGGCCAGGTGAGGGACAACTGTTGGATAGGGTGAGGCTCACACATGTAAATAAAAGACGTTTTGGTAAATCCAGCAGATAGCCACTTCTGTGCCACCAGGGGTTGGAGCAGTGCAGGCAAGCACCTTCTTAGGGACATCTCTGTCTTTGGGGGCCACATTCTGGCCCAGCCCTGCCCAGACGGATGGCAGGGATGGGAAGGTCTGAGCTTAGCTGTCTTGTCATCAAGGCTGCTGGAGGCCACCAGACTGGATGCAGACAGGCCTGGGCATGCTCAGTGCCCATCACCAGGGGGACATGCTGAGTGTCAGGCTCCGCAGAGGTCACTGTGACCTTGACAGGTGCAACCCTGCAGGTTTGGGGGAGGGACCAGAGATACCTGCAGAAGGGACTGAGGAAAGCAAAGATGTGAGGGGTGGTCACAGGAGTTTTTTGTTTTTTTAGTTTTTTGGTTGTTTTTTTTTTTTTAAGATTAAAGAAATCCATATTTATGTCCTCATGAGAATGACCTAGTGAGTGAAAAGTGGCCGGGATGTGGAGGTGGCTGTCACTAAGTGGACCAGAGGGGCGGGGCCAGGGCACAGGCGCCCTCAGAGCAGGGACTTCTCAGGAAGGAGGCAGGTCTGGGGGTCCAGATGCTCGGGGGCCCCTTCTGGCTGCTTCCATTTTCTTCAGGTAGGGAACCTGGTCCTGGCCTGGGGAGCAGGATGGAGTGGAGGTGGGGCCAAGGAGAGAGGAGGAGGAAGGAACTTGGCTTGGGACCCCATGGCCCACCTGAGGCTTGTGGTCAATATCAATAGACAGAGGTCAGCACACTGGACTCCTCCACCCGGATGAGGACCGGGGACTGGGAGGCCTGGGGGGTGGAGAGTGTGAGCTGCAAGCACAGGCTGTTGGTGGGGCAAGGGGGGCGCTGCAGCTGTTGGCATGGTGGGGTGGTGGGCATGTGGCTAAGTACAGGGCCACAGGTGTTGGGGGTAAGCAGCCTTAGGAGCAGAGCTGCAGGAGGGACAGTGCCCTGAGCAAGCACTGTTGGGAGATAAGGGAGGACGTGGAGTGGGAGGGATGGTCTGAGGACGGGCGTCCACATGCGAGTCAGGAAGGGGTTTGGGAGAATCGGTCCCTGAGGGGCGGGAGGGGGAGGAGAAGCAGCGAGGTGAAGGGTCTGTAGAGAAGAGATTGAAGACACCTGCAGGACTGAATTCAGGGCTGGAGGTGGGAGGGGAGGCCCAGAGCCGGTACAGCGTGTGGTGGGCTGGTCTTGGGATGAACAGGTGGGCCCCTTCATGCTTGGACATGGGGGGAAAGTGCAGGGGGTTGAGGCTTTAGCCCTGGGCTCAGGTTCACCCTTGACCCTGCTGGAACTGGGCCCTCTGGAGCATGGTTTTCTTGACTCCTGCCACGCCCTGTGCAGGTGCTCCCTCACTCCAGTGAAGGGGTGCTGGACCCCAGAGAGTTTGGTGGGTCAGCCTCTAGCAGAAGCAGCCAGCTAGCCACTGGAAACAGGCCTGCCTTAGAAGCCTGGAGGCTAGAGGGAGGCTGAGGCCCCAGAGAACCCCGCCTCCATGCCGGGGTCACGGGGCTCAGGCAGGGCCCGGACAGACAAGCGTTCTGCCCTGGTCCCAGGAAAGGTGAGGTGCCAGAGGGTTCCCCAAGCACCTGGCCCTGCCCTTTGCGGGGAGCCAGGCCTCACTGCTACCGAAGATTGGTGAACACAGGGTTCTCAGTGTGGGGGGCAGTGCTGTGGGACATGGTGATGCTGGCAGAGGGCACTGGCCGGATGGACAGACAGGAACTTGCACTTGTCTCCAGGATGCCTATGAAGTTCATATTCTGGAGCGAATGGGAAGCTCCAAGCCCATGCTGGACACCTCTCTGATGCAGGCACAGGGCGTAGAGAGCCAGGAACGGCCACACTGGGCTGGGAGGGGGCACATGAGCAGGATAGACTCAGGTGGGGCCCCGGAGCCAGAGGACAGGACTGCTAGGCGTGTGGGGTGCAGGTGGGTTTGGGGGCATCACTGTTGACAAGTCCACTGGTTAGGAGGGCTGCAGATGGGCTTGGGCCTGGCGGAGACCAGCTCCCTTGGCCAGAACGGGAGGAGCGGGGGCCATCTAGGCAGGGCCACCATAGAGGTGGGAAATGGGGTGAGGGCATTCTTGGCACAAGTTCTTTCTAAATTTGCTGTCCCACCAGGACGCTGAGCCACGTGGGGGGTCTTTCCCTGTGCTAGAACTCTATCTCTGGGTGTGTGTCCACAGAGGCTGCAGGTTGGGGCGCAGGGGAAGAGGGAGAGGTAGGAAAAAGGAAATGAGCCCTACTCTGAGGGCCTCATGGGGTCAGGGGGGTGGAGAGAATAGGAGTGATGTGGGGACACAAGCGGGGCAGAGGACCCTGCCTGCCTCTCCACTCGCCCTACTCCCCTTCCCCCCACTCCAGGGGACCATGGTGGTGTCAGGTGCCAATGATGTCCCTGGGGTGGTGGTGGGCATCTGTGGGGGGCAGACTGAGGTGCAAAGACCCGTGGGGTCCTGGGGTAGGGCATGCCTTCAGCTTCACCAGGTGTCCTGAGCCTGGACCGACCCAGGAGGGCTGCAGGGCTACAGAGGGTAGGTGACACGCGGGCCAGGGCTCATGGTCAGGGCCCCGCAAGCCGGCCAGGCCTCCCCATCTGGCGCCTCCGTCCAGTTTAAGTCCCGCCCTCGCCGCACCCCTGACTCACTTCCTTTGCATAGGAGCTGGGAACCTCCCCCAGCTTCTTCCGATCTGGGCACTCCCTGGGGACCCACAGGTGCCGCTGCTGCCCCTCCAGGCCTGAGCAGACCCAGTGAGGCCCCTGACCCCAGCCCGACTCATCAGGAAGCCATTTTCTGCTTCCTGAATCAGGTCTCCGGGTCTGACACAGGCAGGGGCCTCCCTTGGGGGGGCTGGGCAGCAGGAGCCTGACCTCACGCAGCTGCAGGTACGGGGGTGGTTTGGGGGCCAGGGGCTTGTCCCCCGCGACTGTCCAGCTCTGTCTCTTCAGTGGCTCATCCCTCCTTCTCCCGCTTTGTTCATCTTTCCGCCCCATCCCACTCTCTGGACGCTCCCGGCTGCCCCTCCATCAGTGTTCAATGGAGGATGTTGGGAGGATCCCTGTCTTTGGAGGGTGGGGAGCTGGGAGGTCTGGGCTCAGCCTGGGGACAGGGCTGGGGCCCATTCTCAAAAGCAGAAGTTCCAGTCAGATCCCTCTCCCCCATAGTATTCTTAAGTGTGGGGGGGTGCATCTCTCAACTCCAGGGGTGCTCGGGCCTCTGCTTCCCGTGGCCTCTTCTTGGGACGCCTACTGCCACTGGCGCCCGGCAGTCGGCAGGCCGGCGCGGGCAGGGTCGGCCTTGACCCTTCTTTACCCCTAATCGGCGCCTGGTCGGCACCGACTCCTCCTCCAGGAAGCCGGCTGCCGCCCGATAAGTTGCCCCCCCCACTCCACCCCCACCCTCCAACACACACACACACACACACATACACACACTTCCTCAGGGCCCGCGGCTGTTTACGGGAGGACCCGAGAGATTTGCATGGGGCCCCGCGGGGAGCTGCTTCCTGGTCAGAAGGGCAACATTCCGGCCCAGCGAGGCCGGGACTGGGCTCTGATAGTAGGGCAGCCCGGGCCGCACTACGGTGCCTCCCAGGGGGATGCGATCATTCGGGGGAAGAGTCCTAGTCGGCGTTGCGTAAGTCTGGAGACCCTCCCCATCTTCCTGTTGCAGGGAGGGTGACCTGCATGCCGGACGCCTCCCCTGAGATATGGACCGCGGCCATCCCAGCCCGGAGCCCGCGGCCGCGGCCCCCGGTGCCCCTAGCCCGAGCGTGATCGCGCCGCTGCGCGCCGTGGTCCGCCTGCGCCGCCGCGTGTGCCTCCTGCGCAAGAGGCGCCTCCTGCCGCCCGGCGTGGGGCCGGACTTCCGGGCCCTGACGCCGCGCGCGGACGCGGACCGACCCCAATTCTTCACCTTCGACGGCCCCGCGGAGCTGAAGTCCAGGACGCCGCGCAAGAGGCGCCGACGCAGCCGCGTGGTGCTCTACCCCGAGACCTCGCGCAAGTACCGGCCGCGCGCGGAGCAACGCAGCCGCGCGCAGCACTGCCTGTTGTTGCTCGTGGCCATCGTGGGCTTCCAGGTGCTCAACGCCATCGAGAACCTGGACGATAACGCGCAGCGCTACGACCTCGATGGGTTGGAGAAGGCGCTGCAGCGCGCCGTGTTCGGCCAGCCGGCCGCAGTAGGGCGCATCATGGCGCTGCTACGGGACTACCTGGCCACGCACATGCACAGCCGTCCTCTGCTCCTGGCGCTGCACGGACCCAGCGGCGTGGGCAAGAGCCACGTGGGCCGCCTGCTGGCACGTCACTTTCGCGCGGTGCTAGAGGACAGCGCGCTCGTGCTGCAGTACGACGCGCGGTACCACTGCCCCGAGCCGCGCGATGCGCAGGACTGCCGCGAGGAGCTGGCACGGCGCGTGGCTGACGTGGTGGCACAGGCCGAGGAGGAGGAGAAGACCCCACTGTTGGTGCTGGACGAGGTGGAGCTCCTGCCACCGGCGCTACTGGACGAGCTGCACGGCTTCCTGCAGCCACAGCGCTCCCACCACTTCCGTAACGCCATCTACGTGCTACTGAGCGGCGCTGGCGGCGCGGAGATCACGCGCTTCGTGCTCCAGAACGCGTCCCGAGCGCTGACCCTGCGCCTCGACGGTGCCCACGGTGCTCGGGCCGAGGAGGAGTTGCGCGCGGGCCTGCGGACGCTCCTGGTCCGCGAGCACCCGCTGTGGCAGGCCGCAGCCATCGTGCCCTTCCTGCTTCTGGACAAACGGGACGTGGTCAACTGCTTTCGGGACGAGATGGCAGGGGAGGGCTTCTTCCCGGAGCAGGCCCGCGCTGAGCTCCTGGCTGCGCAGCTCAACTACTACCGCGTCGCTGGCCGTGAGTTTGCTGTCACTGGCTGCAAGCAGGTGGTGGCCAGGGTGAACCTCTTGTAGCATAGGTGCAGCTGGACACGACGGTAGTAGCGGGGAGGGGATCCTATGGATATGCCGCGGGCCCCTGAGGCCCTTAATAAATCTATCTCTGGCGCCCCAGCTGGTTTGCAGTTCCAATTCCAACCCCTCAGAGTCCCCAGTCTGCCACCTCCGGGTCCTTAATTCCGCCCCCTTCCTCAGCACCTACTGTGTGCCCCACATCGCAGGCATCCCAAGAGGGATGGGTGTTCTCAGAGGGTTAACAGACCCCAGATTCACACAGCTGGTCCCCTGCAGAGTTGAATGTGACCACTGCTCTGTGGGGTGCCTGCAGCGCACCTGCTTACACCTGCCCATCCCTGCTCACCTGCTCATCCTGAAGGCCCGGAGGCCTCGATGCGTCTTCAGTCCCGTGAATCACGGGTAATGCCGGGATTTGTCGCGCTTCTTAGGCCCAGGAGTCCTCCCTGCCCAAGGCAAAAGCATGGTTGGCTGTGTTTACCCAATAAGCGGATCCGATGGAATCGCCTCAGTGTTCTAGAAAGGGAGACTCTCAGGGTGACAGTGGTAAGGAGTGGCCCAAGTGAGAGGCCCTGACCTCTGGGATCACCCTGCCCTGGCCCCCCACTTGGCCCAGAACTCTGAAGTGGAGGAGGCATCTGAATAGGGATCCCTTAGAGCTGCAGAGATGCAGAGCCCTGCCCCCCACTGCTTCCCAGGCCCGGGGTGAGGGCTTCACCCCTGCCACCCTGGACGCTCCCCAGTAGCCAGCAGACCCAGCCCACCCCTCGCTTCACTGTCACCTTTGGCGTGGTGGTTTCTGGCTTCTCGAGGCCCCCGCCCCCTCGCCCCCACAGCCCCGCGCACAGGGTGGCCTCAGTGCTGCCCCCTGGTGGCCGTGCGAACCAGCTTGGGCGGCGATGACCGCAGGGGGGGGTCCCGTGTCTCCCTCACGGTCTCCCGAGAAGGGCTCACGGCCTCCGGGGGGAAACGGGCAGAGACAACGAAGTACGCCCACAACAATCAGTCCCTAAAGGGGGGCGGCCGGGGTGGGGGTACCGGCAAGGTGAAGGTTAGTGTGCCAGGAGCTCGAAGACCCTGGGCCGCAAGGGCAGGCGCGGCCGTCCTGCCCAGAGAGGCGGGTTCCTCCCGGCTGCGAGAGCTCCCTGGGGCCTGGAGGGGTGGGCAGGTCTGGGAGGCCAGGGCTGTGTTCGCCCCAGCTCTGTGCACCCCAACCCCACTTGCTGGGCGGCTGGGGGTAGTAGGAGCCCCACCCTCTGAGGCGGAATTCCTGACAAAGGAGCCTACACTGGAGCACCGGTGCAGCCCTGCCATCCAGTGGCTTTTTCAAGGTGTGTATGACAGATGGCACACAGAGACGTGTACTTCCTTTTGTGACTTTATTTTGTGTCTTTTAGTTGTCCTACTTTTTTTAATATAAAGATTTTATTGGGGAATTGGGGAAGGGGAACAGCCAAGTCGTTGTCCTTCAATCTTCGTTGTGGGTGGGCGTACCCCATTGTTGAACTGGTGAAAAATAACTCTCCAGGTAACCCACAAAAGAAACGGTTTATTCCGCAAAAGAAAAAGAAGCAAGACCCCTGCCGTGGCAGTGCGGAAAGCACGCCTCCTACACGAGCTCCTACCGGCAGGCAGCCCACGTGGAGGCAGACAAGACCCCGGTTTCAAGATGGCTAATCCCTTTATTATGATTCCACCCCCAAAATTACTATAAGGATGAACGGGAAATCAGGACTATAGAGTTAACAAGGGCCCAGCCCCACCCATAGTCCTCCCAGCTCTATGGTTAAGCATCTTAAGAGGCCAGTTCACTTTATTGGCATCATCCCATGCGGGAGTCGAACTAGAAACCTTATTGCTAAGAGCGTGCGCTCTAACCACTGAGCCATCTGGCCGTCCAGCAGCAGCTCAGGGCAGCTCAGCTCAAGGTGCCATGTTCAATCTTAGTTCTGGGGGTGGGGGTACAGCCCCCAATCCTCTGCGGGAGTAGAACAGGCAACCTTGTTAGGAGCACATGCTCTCACCAGCTGAGCCATCCGGCCACCTGTTGGCAGCTCAGCGGCAGCTCAGCTTGGGCGCAGCCCACTGGCCCACGTGGGAATCGAACCGGTGACCCTGTTGCGCAGAGTTCATGGTTTTAACCAATTGAGCCACTCAGCTGGCCTGTCGTACTCTTTCTGTACTTCTTTTTTGGGTCGTGGTTCCCCCCAGTACGGTGTTCCATTTTTGTCCTTAATCCGTTGACAGTTATACCAACAACACAACTCGCCTTATGCTCTCCTGTGGGCAATTCAAGGACTTTCGATGGGCTGAGCCCCAATTCCAGTGGTGCCTTACCAAGCACCCTAACTCTGTCCCTTTAACATGATGCATACATATCAGACACTGATTATATTTCAGTTTTGATTTTTGAGTTATACTTTATTGATTTATTTATGACCTAGTTCCTTCTGTTCCAGACACTCTGACTCCCACGGGCCATCACTTGCGTGTCCAGTTCCCGCATGCCTGTGGGGCTGGCTCTGGGCTCAGTCCTGTTCCCGGCTGCTGATGTTCTGTTGCCTGATGGCAGGATGTCATTTTTCTTGAAGAGTCACTTGGCTCTTCTTGGTTTTTTTTCCTTTTAACTTGATTTTGTCGAATTCTTGGAAAAACCTTTTAGGGTTCATTGGAATTGTCAGATGGATTTGGGGGATAGTGGATCCTTGACCCCACTGCACACTTGCTAAGGCCTGATGTCATGTCTTTCATGTTGTGAAGGGTTACTGTTGTATAATAGGACATACATCCAGAAAAGTATATAAAGCAAACTATATATTCAAACCTTTTCACAAAGCAGGCACCCATTGTGTGCATCATTCAGGTCAAGAAACAGGACACGGGCAGCATCCCAGGAGCCCCCAAGGTCCCTCCAGCTCACCGGCCGCCCCTGTCCCCCTCCCCTGGGGCAGTAACTCCCCAACTTTTGAGATAATCACCACCTTGTTATTCTCATACTTTAACCACCCAGCTTTACAACCCTAAGCTGTCTGGTTTAGTTTTATGTTGTAGCGTTCTTCTTGGATTATTTTTTAAAAATTGAGGTGTCATTTAAAAAAATGATTTGAGATATGATTTACATACCACAGAATTGACTCGTTCGGGTAGACAATTGAATGATTTTTAGTAGATTTGCAGAATTGTGCAGACTTCACATTCAGGCTGAGAACATTGCTCTCAGTCCAGAAAGCTCTGTCCTGTTCATTCTCAGTGAGTGGGTGACGGGGTCAGATCCATGGTGACAAAGGAAAAGAGATTTAGCGTGCTGAGCACTCGGCAGAGTAGAAGGATGTCAGATTATAATATTGTACACCTGAAATTCATATAATCTTGTTGACCAATGTTATCTCAATTAAAAATGTTTTTTAAAAGATCATCAAGTTCTGGGGATTATAACTAATGAAAAACAAAACAAACCCTAATGTTTGGCAAAATGCTGGAACACTCTCTGGGGACGTCCCCCGCACAATGACACCAGTTCTTTCCCCCAAAGCCTGTTGGTTGGAACAAAACTCAGGCTTGCTCGCGGAAGCCCAGCAAAACTGTTTGTGACTGTTAAACGGACTTCAGGTTGTTTGCAAAGAAAATTCTGGCCTTCCTGCAGAAGTCGACCCCACATGTAGCCTTTTCCTCTGTGTGTATCAACGGGCTGACCCGAGACCTTTCCTTTCTGATAAAAGGACCAGGACCCAGTGGGGACCGTGTCCACAGATTTCGTTAATTTGGCAAACCAGCTTGCTTGCTCCGTGGGTGAGTCACCTGAGGGAAAAACAGCTAAAATGCTTAATTTTCAAGTCCGGCCAATGAAAGTCGCTTTACAAACCCCAAACCTCCTAGTTTCTGCTGATAAAGTGAACTGGCCTCTTAAGATGCTTAACCATAGAGCTGGGAGGACTATGGGTTGGGCTGGGCACTTGTTAACTCTATAATCCTGATTTCCCGTTCATCCTTATGGTAATTCTGGGGGTGGGATCATAATAAAGGGATTAGCCATCTTGAAACCGGGGTCTTTTCTGCCTCCACGTGGGCTGCCGGTAGGAGCTCCGTGTGGGAGGTGTGCTTTCGCACTGCGGTGGCCGTCTTGCTTTTTCTTTTCCCAAATAAACCGTTTCTTTTGTGGATTACTTGGAGAGTTATTTTTCGCCAGTTCAACATTTTGGGGACCTTGTTCCGGGATCCAGAGAGGAACAGAACTCCGATGGCTTCTGACCGGTGAGCAAAAATCTATGGCGCCAAACTGAGCTGTTTCACACGACTTTTTGCTCCCTGGCTTAGAGGCCTCGGGTAAGTTTCTCTCCTGGATCTGAACGAACGGGCCTTTGTGTCTGGTTCTATAAGGGAATTTAAAATTTTTTTCTGTTTTGTTTCATTCGTTTGTTTTGTTTGTTGTTGTTGGTGTGTGTGTGTGTGTGTGTGTGAGTGAGAGAGAGTGAGAGAGAACGCTTTAAGGCCTATTTGTCTACTCTCGTGGCATGTTGGCTTGCTTTCTTCGGAAAGCAGGTTCTGTTTCTTTTTGAGACAAAAACTGGCCTTCGCCTAACGTCCCTTTGGGATAAGAGGTTATTTCTGCTGAAATTAATCAGTTTACACGACGTTTAGATCGTGCTGTCTCAGTGAAAAGTTAACGGAGTGCCACGCAGCGCAGTCGATAACCGAACTCCCTGAGCGTTGGTTATTTGCCTGGAACTGGCTCTAGCCTTTGGTCTGATTCCCAGCGATCAGGCTGCTCCAGAGTGAGAGTGGAGCAAAGCGAAGATTCCCAGTTTGCCTGAGTTGTGAACTGGTTTTGGCCCAGTGCCAGCTCAACCTGTAACTTAAACTCCCTAAGAGTTGGTTATTCGCCTGGAACTGGCTTTTAGCCTTTGGCCTGGTTCTCAGTGATCAGACTGTTCCAGAGTGAGGTGAGCTGAAGACCTGCAGGTTATAAGAGCTATACATTGTTTTGGGCCCAGCCTTTAAAATGGGATCTCGAATGTCCAAGCCTTCTAAAACTGTCCCTCCTCCAGAGACACCGGCCGAACACATGTTTGCAAACCGCGGAGAATTTTCATGAACGTATTTAAATGGGCATTTCTGACTAAGAGGAATCATAAAAATCAGTGGCCACTTTGGGGAACTTTTGAGATTTCCAAACATGAATTTCTTAAAACTAAATTGGATGGTAACAGTGTTGTAACTGAGAAAGAGGAATGGAATGCCTATTTGGAGTGGTATATGGAGGCGGCCAAACAGGACTGCAAATCCAAAGTTGTTGGCTTACAAAATAGAGTCTCAAAGTTAACAAAAACTGTTAAAAATTTTAAAAGAGACAGAATGGCGTCTGAAACCTCATGCTCTTTGTCTACAACACTGCCTTGCCCTTCCCCCACTGCTGCTTCACCTCTTCTACTTTCGACGACATCTTGCTCTTTCTCGCCCCCACCTCCGACTCAAACCTCAGCGACAACGTCTTTCGAATCTCACTCTCTCTTTTCTTCCTTAGAACCTATCAGTACTTCTCCATTTAAGATTAAACCCTCTGGAAATCCTAATAAACCCCACGTTTCTTACATCCCCTGGACCAAAGCTGAGTTACGAGCCATTGTAAAGGAGTTTGGTTTCCTATAGTAACTGAGGATTCTAATAAATTTGCTAAGGAATTTGATATTACTATTCAAGCTTATCAGCCTGGGTTTTCTGATTTGTACCAGCTGATCCATATATTGGTTGGTGAAGGCCAAGCTAGACATTGGATGAGGATTGCCGGATGGGAACATCCTGAAAGGGATTTAGAAAAGCAACCCTCCAGTTATTGGAAGGAAGCCAGGGAACTTGCTCCAGAGCTGCATCCAGTAATCCCCGAGGCTTTGCCAAGGTCTATCGATTAGAACAAAATCCACACTTGCTCGCAAAGGTCTGATGAATCTGATCATGACTACTGTAATAGGTTTTAGGTGGTTTTTAAAGAAAACTTTGGTCTTCCTTCAGATATTGACTCCACACGTTTCTTTAAAAAAAAAAAAAGATTTTATTGGGGGAGGGGAACAGACAAGTTGTTGTCCTTTTGTTCTTAAGTCTAGTTGTGGAGGACGCCGCTTCACGGGTCCATGTTGGTATTATCATTGTGCTCTTCCCGAGTGAGGCAGTCCGGCCATTGGACTGTGGCTTATGAAACCGCACGCCAGCTGCCGACCAGCCCCACTGCAGCCTACACCGTTGCCGGCGACTCACTGCAGCCCGGCTCTAGGTCGAGCTGTTGTTCACCATCTTAGCTGTAGAGGGCGCAGCATCACTAGCTTTCTATGTGGGATCTGAACCGGGCCCTGCTGCTCAGAGCTGGCGTCCCAAGACAACTCTTAATCAACGTGCCACTTGGTCAGCCCCACACGTGTTCCTTTTAATTCCTTGTTTGTCAATAGGCTAAATAAAAACCTTTCCGTCCTGATTAAGATCCAGGATGGGATGGGGAACTATGCCTACCCTAGAATTGGTAAATTTAGCTAATGAACTTGCCAGTACCCTAGACGAGCCACCTAAAAGCAAGATCACCAAGACATCTGAATTTCAGCCGTGGCAAACGAGAAGCCCTGTACGAAACCAGAAAACCCCAACCTTTTGCCACTACTGCAAGGAGCAAGGACACGGGAAAAGGGATTGCTGTAAGTTGAAGTGTACAAGACGCTCTCTGCCAACTAACCAGCCTCTTTCAGGTCTTCCTAGTTTCCAGTGACGGGGCCCTGAGGAATTACAGGGGCTTTTTCCAGTCCTTCCCCTTAATCATCTTGGAGAAACTTCTTTTCAAATTGGGAGGAAACTTTGTTCTTTTTTTTAAAGATTTTTATTGGGGAATTGGGGGAAGGGGTACAGATAAGTTGCTGTCCTTTTGTTCTTCAGTCTAGTTGTGGAGGACGTTGCTTCCCTGGCCCAAGTTGACACCATCATTGCGCTCTTCCTGGGCTAGGCAGATTATTCGCCGGCTTCTGGACAGCCGCTCACGCTGGCTGCTGGCTACACACGGTAGCCCATGGCAATCCACTGCAGCAGGGGCTGCAGCCTACATGGTCGCCTGCGACATGGTAGCCCAGCTCCAGGTTGAGCTGTTGTTCAGCATCTTAGCTGTGGAGGGCAGTGTCATTGGCCCTCATATGTGGGATCCGAACTGGGGCCCTCTGG